TGTTCTTTTTTATTTTTTTCTATTGTCCCCTGGGGAAATGGGAAAAAAAAAATTCCTCCGTAAGCCATGCATGTGTATGGGCACTAAAAGCCCGGGAGCAAAGGGTATAACCCCCTTCTCCTTATACATTTTCTAAAAAAGAAAGAAGAAAAAATTTATAAAACTGGGGTGCTTTAAAAGTGCGTGTGAGGCGGATGAAAAAAACAATGATTTCTAATGTTATGAATGAAAAAGTTGGTGTCCTGGGCCCCTAACGAAACAAAGCTGAAAGGGGGTAGGACAGTTTCAGTGGGGGGAAATAAATGGGATTAAATCTGGAGTATCTGAGAGAGTTAGAGCAAAGGAAGGGGTAGCAGTAATGTTAAATGATCAGTTATGGAAGGAGAAAAGAGAATATGAATGTGTAAATTCAAGAATTGTGTGGATTAAAGTAAAGGTTGGATGCGAGAAGTGGGTCATAATAAGCGTGTATGCACCTGGAGAAGAGAGGAATGCAGAGGAGAGAGAGAGATTTTGGGAGATGTTAAGTGAATGTATAGGAGCCTTTGAACCAAGTGAGAGAGTAATTGTGGTAGGGGACCTGAATGCTAAAGTAGGAGAAACTTTTAGAGAGGGTGTGGTAGGTAAGTTTGGGGTGCCAGGTGTAAATGATAATGGGAGCCCTTTGATTGAACTTTGTATAGAAAGGGGTTTAGTTATAGGTAATACATATTTTAAGAAAAAGAGGATAAATAAGTATACACGATATGATGTAGGCGAAATGACAGTAGTTTGTTGGATTATGTATTGGTAGATAAAAGACTGTTGAGTAGACTTCAGGATGTACATGTTTATAGAGGGGCCACAGATATATCAGATCACTTTCTAGTTGTAGCTACACTGAGAGTAAAAGGTAGATGGGATACAAGGAGAATAGAAGCATCAGGGAAGAGAGAGTGAAGGTTTATAAACTAAAAGAGGAGGCAGTTAGGGTAAGATATAAACAGCTATTGGAGGATAGATGGGCTAATGAGAGCATAGGCAATGGGTCGAAGAGGTATGGGGTAGGTTTAAAAATGTAGTGTTAGAGTGTTCGGGCAGAAGTTTGTGGTTACAGGAAAGTGGGTGCAGGAGGGAAGAGGAGCGTTTTGGTGGAATGATGATGTAAAGAGAGTAGTAAGGGAGAAAAAGTTAGCATATGAGAAGTTTTTACAAAGTAGAAGTGATGCAAGGAGGGAAGAGTATACGGAGAAAAAGAGAGAGGTTAAGAGAGTGGTGAAGCAATGTAAAAAGAGAGCAAATAAAGAGAGTGGGTGAGATGTTATCAACAAATTTTGTTGAAAATAAGAAAAAGTTTTGGAGTGAGATTAACAAGTTAAGAAAGCCTAGAGAACAAATGGATTTGTCAGTTAAAAATAGGAGAGGAGAGTTATTAAATGGAGAGTTAGAGGTATTGGGAAGATGGAGGGAATATTTTGAGGAATTGTTAAATGTTGATGAAGATAGGGAAGCTGTGATTTCATGTATAGGGCAAGGAGGAATAACATCTTGTAGGAGTGAGGAAGAGCCAGTTGTGAGTGTGGGGGAAGTTCGTGAGGCAGTGGGTAAAATGAAAGGGGGTAAGGCAGCCGGGATTGATGGGATAAAGATAGAAATGTTAAAAGCAGGTGGGGATATAGTTTTGGAGTGGTTGGTGCAATTATTTAATAAATGTATGGAAGGGGGTAAGGTACCTAGGGATTGGCAGAGAGCATGCATAGTTCCTTTGTATAAAGGCAAAGGGGATAAAAGAGAGTGCAAAAATTATAGGGGGATAAGTCTGTTGAGTGTACCTGGTAAAGTGTATGGTAGAGTTATAATTGAAAGAATTAAGAGTAAGACGGAGAATAGGATAGCAGATGAACAAGGAGGCTTTAGGAAAGGTGGGGGGTGTGTGGACCAGGTGTTTACAGTGAAACATATAAGTGAACATATTTAGATAAGGCTAAAGAGGTCTTTGTGGCATTTATGGATTTGGAAAAGGCGTATGACAGGGTGGATAGGGGGGCAATGTGGCAGATGTTGCAGGTGTATGGTGTGGGAGGTAGGTTACTGAAAGCAGTGAAGAGTTTTTTACGAGGATAGTGAGGCTCAAGTTAGAGTATGTAGGAAAGAGGGAAAATTTTTTCCCAGTAAAAGTAGGCCTTAGACAAGGATGTGTGATGTCACCGTGATTGTTTAATATATTTATAGATGGGGTTGTAAGAGAAGTAAATGCGAGGGTCTTGGCAAGAGGCGTGGAGTTAAAAGATAAAGAATCACACACAAAGTGGGAGTTTTTCACAGCTGCTCTTTGCTGATGACACTGTGCTCTTGGGAGATTCTGAAGAGAAGCTGCAGAGATTGGTGGATGAATTTGGTAGGGTGTGCAAAAGAAGAAAATTAAAGGTGAATACAGGAAAGAGTAAGGTTATGAGGATAACAAAAAGATTAGGTGATGAAAGATTGAATATCAGATTGGAGGGAGAGAGTATGGAGGAGGTGAACGTATTCAGATATTTGGGAGTGGACGTGTCAGCGGATGGGTCTATGAAAGATGAGGTGAATCATAGAATTGATGAGGGAAAAAGAGTGAGTGGTGCACTTAGGAGTCTGTGGAGACAAAGAACTTTGTCCTTGGAGGCAAAGAGGGGAATGTATGAGAGTATAGTTTTACCAACGCTCTTATATGGGTGTGAAGCGTGGGTGATGAATGTTGCAGCGAGGAGAAGGCTGGAGGCAGTGGAGATGTCATGTCTGAGGGCAATGTGTGGTGTGAATATAATGCAGAGAATTCGTAGTTTGGAAGTTAGGAGGAGGTGCGGATTACCAAAACTGTTGTCCAGAGGGCTGAGGAAGGGTTGTTGAGGTGGTTCGGACATGTAGAGAGAATGGAGCGAAACAGAATGACTTCAAGAGTGTATCAGTCTGTAGTGGAAGGAAGGCGGGGTAGGGGTCGGCCTAGGAAGGGTTGAGGGAGGGGGTAAAGGAGGTTTTGTGTGCGAGGGGCTTGGACTTCCAGCAGGCATGCGTGAGCGTGTTTGATAGGAGTGAATGGAGACAAATGGTTTTTAATACTTGACGTGCTGTTGGAGTGTGAGCAAAGTAACATTTATGAAGGGATTCAGGGAAACCGGCAGGCCGGACTTGAGTCCTGGAGATGGGAAGTACAGTGCCTGCACTCTGAAGGAGGGGTGTTAATGTTGCAGTTTAAAAACTGTAGTGTAAAGCACCCTTCTGGCAAGACAGTGATGGAGTGAATGATGGTGAAAGTTTTTCTTTTTCGGGCCACCCTGCCTTGGTGGGAATCGGCCAGTGTGATAATAAAAAAAAATAATTCTTGTTCTTGTTTATTTCCTCTTATCTCCTTAGGGAAGTGGAACAGAATTCTTCCTCTGTAAGCCATGCACATCGTAAGAGGCAACAAAAATGCTGGAAGCAAGGGGCTAGTAACCCCTTCTCCTGTATACATTACTAAAGTTATGAAGAGAAACCTGTTTTTCTTTTTGGGCCACACTGCCTTGGTGGGATATGGCTGGTTTGTTGAAAGATCTTCCATTCTATCAAATTAAACCAAGAAACCGAGAATACAACAATGAAAACCATACAAAAATACACCGCAGTCGCTGTTTTAAGCCAAAAATATGGTGATGAGCTCATCACATAGTGCTATGGCATGGACACTGGCTTCAAAGCTGTAGAACTATGGCATGGACCCTCAAGGGGTTAAGACTTTTTTTGACAAATGAAACTGAATACTTATGCTTGACATGCCTTCCTGTCATTGCCATTATCCCAGATCTGTGGGCACTGCAACACAATTTGTTATTTTTTATAGAGTTCACTGCCAATGATAATGTACTCGAAATTATGGAATTGTAAGTAGGGTAGACTGTTAGTTAACATGCAATCTGTTAACGAATTTTTGCCTAAACATGGTTGCAAAATTGCAGCTTATTTTTGAACACACCATATTAATCAGGTTACACAGCTAGTACATGCTGGGGCAAATATAGGTGCTGGGTTCTTTTCCCTCCATCTTGTGGTAAATACAAGGGCAAATCCATTGCCTTATGCCTATGATTCATGGCTTACACATGCAAAATATGAAGGCTAAAACAAGGATCACTGGCTGTTGAGGATGTAACTGATCTGCAGCACTACATGGTTACCAAGAACACTAGTGAAGCAAGATTTGCGGCAGTTCTCTAAACACATTATTTACATACCAATTTACGTGGCATCGTTTTGCTAGTTAGCCGGTGGAATCTGGTCTCACATCATGATAAGTTCCCAACATGTAGATAAATGGTTCAGAGAGCCGACAAGTTGATGAATTAAGACACATGTACAACACTTGGGTATCTTTACTGAGGAAACGTTTTACAACACAGTGGCTTGATCAGTCCTAAACAAAGAAGAATGGTAAAGAGTAGGAGGAGTTTGAGGTAATCAGTCCCTCAGCCTGGAGTCGATGTAATCAGTCCATCTATGTATTCTTTTCAAGATTGATAGACTGATTACATCAACTCCAGGCTGAAAGATTAATTACCTCAAATTCCTTCTGATCTTCACCATTCTTCTTTGTTTAGGACTGATAAAACCACTGTGTGGTGAAAAGTTTCCTCAGTAAAGATATTCAAGTGTTGCACGTGTCTAATTCATCAGTTCCTAGCGTGTTATAAATGTAATTAAGGGTCATGATCGAGAACAGGGAATAATCTATGCTGCAGAAAATAACACTGGAAAAGGAGTTAGACTGGCTGTAGAAAAGAAGCTATAATCAAACCACACCACACTTGTTCATCAGTACTGAACGAGTATACAATATCATCAGATATACTCAACCAACTTAGGGTGATGTACTATGTAACAAACTTCATATTCAAAGAATGGTTTGGCTCAAATACTCTTCAGCAAAACACTAAAAGTTAATAATTTTCATGTTGCTTTGAGCCAAGTTGATAAGAAAATTGACCCTTCACTTCAGAAAATCTGCCTACCTTACGCTTATTAACTCCACTTGATGGCTGGGGTAAAACCTTGAAGAAGGTATCCAAGCGACCCTGGGTACTGCCACTTCGAGCTTTAACAAGTTTCTTAGAGCCACTACGAATTCTGTCTTCATTGAAGCCCTTCTCCTCACACATGTATTTAACTAAACCTTCTTCATCTGGGTCTGTCCACTTGAGCTAAAGAATAAAGATTTCATATTTTAGTCAAAAGATGATTATATGCAGTTACAGAAGTAGAACATTTATTATCATGCATTTTTTTTTTTTGACTTTCAATAGATGTAATGCATACTACTCATGGATTCCATTCCAGCCAGCCACCCATGTAAAAACAATGGTAGTCTTTCAATCTAATAAAAAACAGAAGAGCATTGCAGTAAACCTACTGATTATTGCTTGTGCTATTTATCCCAACTTTATTGCAAAACCAGTGCTTTTTACACAAGAACAGAGCACTACAATGGCCTACTAGCCCACGTTAAGCAGGATTTGCTCTAATCTAAACATTCTGACAATATACAACTCTACTGCAAAAATAGTGCTTTTCTTTATAAAAACACAAAAATAGATGAGCAGTGAGGTAGACTTATTAGCTCATGCTATGAAGATCCTACACTCACCAAGCCTTTCCCAATCATTTATTTGTGAAACTTTTTTTTTTAAAATTTTGTAACAGTGATAGAAGAATCAAATTTCACCTCAGAGGGATTGAGAAGCTGGAAACTTCAGTGATCAGCTGTTGTGTAAACACAGTAAGGGAAGAGGCCATCATGAACTATGGAAGATTATGAAATTTGTGTCTATATGTAAGTCTGAATCTGGTTACCAAGAGGTTTTTACTCTAAACCAAATAAGTAGGAATCTAGTGTGGAAGGCCCTCTCAGTATGAAAGAATACCACATTTTTCATGCCATGAGCAAAATTTTATTTACCAATACCTTAAACTAGAAAAATCTTACGTCAATATCTGCAGGGTCTGCTACTTCTGGTTCCATAAATAATCTCCTGGCTTCTGTATATGCCCAATCTTCTGGTACACTGTACTTTTTCTTATCCAGGTGCTTTAATATTTCTTCAATATTCCTGTGTTTACTGATTAGCTCAATGGCTCGCTTAGGTCCAATGCCCCTGATGCTATCACAGTAATCACAGCCCAACAAGATGCACAAGTCGATAAACTGTGTAAAAGATACATATACCGTACATTAAAAAATAAAACTATGCATTACATGAAAAAAATTGCCTGCACTCAATGTATCTCACAAAAAAGAGAGAGAGAGAGAGAGAGAGAGAGGAGAGAGAGGAGAGAGAGAGAGAGGAGAGAGAGAGAGAGAAGAGAGAGAAGAGAGAGAAGAGAGAGAAGAGAGAGAAGAGAGAGAAGTAGAGAGAGAGGAGAGAGAAGAGAGAGAAGAGAGAGAGAAGAGAGAAGAGAGAGAGAGAGAGAAGAGAAGAGAGAGAGAAGAGAGGAAGAGAGAGAGAAAAAGAGAGAAGAGACGAGAGAAGAGAGAGAGAAGAGAGAGAGAAGAGAGAAGAGAGAGAAGAGAGAGAGAGAGAGAGAGAAGAGAGAAGAGAGAGACAGAGACAGAGACAGAGAGAAAAGAGAGAGAGAGAGAGCAGAGACAGAGAGAGAGACAGAGAGAGAGAGAGACAGACAGAGAGAGAGACAGAGAGAGAGACAGACAGAGAGAGCGACAGACAGAGAGAGAGAGACAGATAGAGAGAGAGAGAGTCAGAGAGAGAGAGAGACAGAGACAGAGACAGAGAGAGACAGAGACAGAGAGAGACAGAGAGAGAGACAGAGAGGACAGAGAGAGAGAAAGAGAGAGAGACAGAGAGAGAAAAGAGAGACAGAGAGAGAGAAAGAGAGAGACAGACAGAGAGAGAGACAGATAGAGAGAGAGACAGACAGAGAGAGAGAGACAGACAGAGAGAGAGAGAAAAGAAAAGAGAGACAGAGAGAGACAGAGACAGAGAGAGAGAGAGAGAGAGAGAGAGAGAGAGAGAGAGAGAGAGAGAGAGACAGAGAGAGACAGAGAGAGAGAGAGACAGAGAGAGACAGAGACAGAGAGAGACAGAGAGAGAGAGAGAGAGAGAGAGAGACAAGGTGGCCTCAGCTTCTTAAGGGAGCCCAACTATGAGAATGGTCTTTCTCACAATACTACTGGAACATTAATCATCGCATTCATCAAGAATGAAAAGAACTGTGCTGTCATCAGATTAATTGGCAACAAGTTTTCCTTAATTAGTATTCAATGTTGTTTTTCCTGTTTTCCTCAAAATGGCAAAGAAACATAATTCCATGCTTTCTCTATTCTTGATTTATCTCTGGTTATCAATTGCTTTACTACTTACAAAATAATTTTACAGCAGTTCAGCAAAAACTGAGTCAAGTAGGTCCCCAGTTTAAAAAATTCCCCACTTACAATACTGGCATTTTGGAGCCAATTACTCGCCAAAGTTTTGTGGAAAAATATCACTACCAACCTCTACAAAGGTAGAGGGTGGTAGTGATTGTGGTAGAGGGTGGCAGTGATGGCCAACAATCGAAGATGTAGAGAAGTTGTTATTTGTGTGGATCAACGAAAAACAGTTAGCTGGAAAGACAGTGCGGGTGGGGGCGAAAAATTTGCAAAAAGGAAAGGCAGTTGAAAAGCGGATCTCGTAAAGAAAAATGCCCAACAAGGGGTTTTCAAAAAGGGTAAAATTTATTTAAATTTTCCCTTTTAAAATCCTTTAAAATTTTAGTGCTTTATATTTTTTTTCTTATTTTTTTTCTGTATGAAAAACTATAGTTATTCTCTAAAAATTTTATTTTTTTTTAATTTTTTTGGGGTGTCTGGAACGGTTTAAGGGGAATTTACATTATTTCTAAGGGGAAAAAATTACCCCGATTTTAAATCCTTTTTGGGACTTCGACTAAACCTTCGGAACGTTTAAAGGGACAAAAAACCGGGGTTCCCAAACTGTGTGATGTATATTTTTTTTTTTTAAAAACCGGGCTTTTCCCACCAAGGTAGGGTGCCCCCCAAAACAGAAGAAACTTCCATCATTCACTTTACCCAAAAGGGGAAATTTAATACATCATATTTGCAAAAATAAAAAAAAATCCCATACCCTCAATTTTAAATCCGGGAGGGGGGGATAGCCTACCTTTGAAGGGGGTTTTGGGATTTTTGCTTTTTGGGGAACAGACACCCTAAACTGTCACACCCTTGTGCACCTCTGGCAATAAGTATAGTAAATAATGGTAAAAATGTGACTTTTCGGGTAAACCCCTCCCCTGGGTGAAAGAGGGCCCAAAATGTGAAAAAAAATATATTTAAATACAGGGGAACTCCCGTGCTTGAACTTAATTGGGTTTCCCAGGTGGTACTCAAACGCAAAAAGTTTAAAAGTCAAAAAAGTATATCCCAACTTGGGGTTTTTTCAAGGTCTCAACGCTCAACACCAAGGTTCCACTGTGGTAAACCCGCCCGCGAGGGGACCGGTTTGGGGGCAGTGGGAAAGTCCCCGTCTAAGGGGAATTTTTTGGTGTAAATATTATGCAAAAAAAAATTCGGAGTGTGGGAAAAAAAGGAGAATGTTGGGGTTAATAAAAGCATTAGTCCCGAGGGCAGAAGAGGGGTTTTTTGGGTGGGGTTTTTGGGCTTTTTGAGAGAAGGGAAACAAAGTAGAATGACATTTGGGAAAACATAAAAAATCAAAAGGGGAAGGGAAAAGGGGTAGGGGTTGTCCTCGAAAGGGGTTTGGGAAAAAGGGGGGAAAGGGGGTTTTTTTGGGCGAGGGCCTTTGGGCTTTTTCCCCAAAAAGTGCATGACGTGTTAGAAGGGGGTTTAATGGAGAAAAAATGAAACTTGGGACCTGACGATCTTTTGGGGTGTGAGAAGGGGAAAAATTTTTGTGAAAGGGGTTTAGGGGAAAACCGGGTTTTTTAAAATTTTATCGGACTTGAGTCCTGGAAATGGGGAAATACAATGCCCCTTCACTTTTAAAGGGGGGGTTTTGGGGGTATTGGCAGTTTGGAGGGAATGTTTTGTAAACTTTTATACGTATATGCTTCTAAACTGTTGTATTCTGAGCACCTCTGCAAAAGCAGTGAGAATGTGTGAGTGTGGTGAAAGTGTTGAATGATGATGATGTTGAAACATGATGTACATGTTTATTTATACACACTCATCTGAGTTTTCTTTGATTTTATCTTAATAGTTCTTGGTCTTATTACTTTTCCTTTTATATCCATGGGGAAGTGGAATAAGAATCTTTCCTCCGTAAGCCATGCGTGTTGTAAAAGTCAACTAAAATGCCGGGAACAATGGGCTAGTAACCCCTTTTCCTGTAAAGATTACTAAAAAGAATAGAAGAAAAAAAAAAAAAAATATATATATATATATATATATATATATATATATATATATATATATATATATATAATATATAATATATAATATATAATATATAATAATAATATATATTATATTATATATATATATATATATATATATATTATATAGTATATACAATGGGACCTAGGTAGTAGGTTGGTAAACAGCAACCGCCCAGGTAGGTACTACCATCCTGCCAAGTGAGTGTAAAACAAAAGCCTGTAATTGTTTTACATGATGGAAGGATTGCTGGTGTCTTTTGTCTGTCTCATAAATATACAAAATTACAGGTATGTCTTGCCACTTCTACTTACACTTAGGTCACACTACACATACGTGTACAAGCATATATATACACACCCCTCTGGGTTTTCTTCTATTTTTTTTCTAATTCTTGTTCTTGTTTATTTCCTCTTATCTCCATGGGGAAGTGGAACAGAATTCTTCCTCCGTAAGCTATGCGTGTTGTAAGAGGCGACTAAAATGCCGGGAGCAAGGGGGCTAGTAACCCCTTCTCCTGTTTATATTACTAAATTTAAAACGAGAAACTTGTTTTTCTTTTTGGGCCACCCCACCTCAGTGGGATATGGCTGGTGCGTTGAAAGAAAGAAAGAAAAAAAAGAGAAACTTTTGTTTTTCTTTTTGGGCCACCCTGCCTCTATGGGATACGGCTGGTGTGTTGAAAGAAAGAAAAGGAGAAACTTTCGTTTATCCTTTTGGGCCACCCTGCCTCGGTGGGATATGGCTGGTGTGTTGAAAGAAAGGTATAATGGGAATGTAAAAAGAGAGCAAATTAGAGATACAAAATACAGGAGGCCAATTACAGTGGACCCCCGCATAACGTTGGCATCGCATAGTGTTAAATCCGCATAGCTATACATCTTATCGCTAAAATTTTGCCTCTCATAGTGCTAAAAAATTCGCTCAACGCAATTCGTCCAAGACACATCCATGCGGCCTGAGCCAGCTTCACTTGTTCTGCCAGTGGCATTGTTTACAAGCCAGCCTCCGCAGTAACATTCAAGCATACAATCGGAACATTTCGTATTATTACAGCCTTTTTATAGTGATTTCACCTGAAAAATAAGTGACCATGGGCCCCAAGAAAGCTTCTAGTGCCAACCCTACAGGAATAAGGGTGAGAATTACTATGGAGATGAAGAAAGAGATCATTGCTAAGTATGAAAGTGGAGTGCGTGTCTCCGAGCTGGCCAGGTTGTATAGTAAACCCCCAATCAACCATCGCTTCTATTGTGTCCAAGAGAACGGCAATCAAGGAAGCTGTTCTTGCCAAAGGTTTAACTGTGCTTTCGAAACAGAGATCGCAAGTGATAGAAGATGTTGAGAGACTGTTATTGGTGTGGGTAAACAAAAAACAGATAGCAGGCGATAGCATCTCTCAAGCGATCATAAGTGAAAAGGCTAGGAAGTTGCACGAGGATTTAATTAGAAAAATGCCTGCAACTAGTGGTGATGCGAGTGAATTTAAGGCCAGCAAAGGTTGGTTTGAGAGATTTAAGAGGCGTAGTGGCATACATAGTGTGATAAGGCATGGTGAGGCTGCCAGTTCAGTCCAAAAAGCAGCTGAAAAATATGTGCATGAATTCAAGGAGTACATAGACAGTGAAGGACTGAAACCTGAACAAGTGTTTAATTGTGACGAAACAGGCCTGTTTTGGAAGAAAATGCCAAGCAGGACCTACATTACTCAGGAGGAAAAGGCACTCCCAGGACATAAGCCTATGAAAGACAGGCTTACTCTTCTCATGTGTGCCAATGCTAGTGGTGATTGCAAAGTGAAGCCTTTATTAGTGTATCACTCTGAAACTCCCAGAGCGTTCAGGCAAAAGAATATCCTCAAGGCTAATTTGTGCGTGCTGTGGAGGGCAAACAATAAGGCATGGGTCACTAGGGACTTTTTCTATGACTGGTTACACCAAGCATTTGCCCCCAATGTGAAAAATTACCTAACTGAAAAGAAATTAGACCTTAAGTGCCTCCTGGTGTTAGACAATGCCCCTGGTCATCCTACAGACGTGGCAGAGCGACTTTGTGGGGACATGAGCTTCATTAAGGTGAAGTTTTTGCCTCCTAATACCACTCCTCTCCTGCAGCCCATGGACCAGCAGGTTATTGCAAACTTCAAAAAACTGTACACAAAAGCTCTGTTTGAAAGGTGCTTTGTAGTGACCTCAGAAACTCAAATGACTCTAAGAGAGTTTTGGGGAGAGCACTTTAATATCCTCAATTGTGTAAACCTTATAGGTAAGGCTTGGGAGGGAGTGACTAAGAGGACCTTGAAGTCTGCTTGGAAGAAATTGTGGCCAGAATGTGTAGACCAAAGAGATTCTGAAGGATTTGAGGCTAACCCTGAGAATCCTATGCCAGTTGAGGAATCAACTGTGGCATTGGGGAAGTCCTTGGGGTTGAGGTTAGTGGGGAGGATGTGGAAGAGTTGGTGGAGGAGGACAATGAAGAACTAACCACTGATGAGCTGCTAGATCAACTTCAACAGCAAGAGGCCACACCTGAGGAAATTGCTTCGGAGGAGGGGAGAGAGAAATTTTGAAGAAGTTGCCTACTTCAAAAATTAAGGAAATCTGTGCAAAGTGGCTTGAAGTGCAAACCTTCATGATGAAAATCACCCTCAGACAGCATTGCAAGCCGTGCTGGTGACTATTACACTGACACTGTTGTGAAACACTTTAGGAAAGTCATAAAGGAACGAGAGGTACAGGCCACTATGGACAGATATGTTGTGCGACAGAAGTCCAGTGACTCTGAAGCTGGTCCTAGTGCATTAAAAGAAGAAGGGAAGCAACCCTGGAAAAGGATTGACACCTCAAGTCCTAATGGGAAGGGGATTCCCCTTCTAAACACTAAAACCATCCAGTCTCCCCTCCTCCCATCCCATCAATCATCGCCAGATCTTCAATAAAGGTAAGTGTCATGTAACTGTGCATGTTTTCTTAAGTTTGTGTGTATTAAAATTAATATTTCATGTGGTAAAATTTTTTTTTTTCATACTTTTGGGTGTCTTGCACCGATTAATTTGATTTCCATTATTTCTTATGGGGAAAATTAATTCGCATAACGATAATTTCGCATAACATTGAGCTCTCAGGAACGGATTGATAGCGTTATGCGGGGGTCCACTGTATATACTTCATCTTCAGTTTGACACCTCATAAATATATATGGATCAAAATTACCCTTACACTTTATGACTAGTCAAGTTTTTTTTTTTTTTTTTTTTTTTTCAACAAGTCGGCCGTCTCCCACCGAGGCAGGGTGACCCAAAAAAAGAAAGAAAATCCCCAAAAAAGAAAATACTTTCATCATCATTCAACACTTTCACCACACTCGCACATTATCACTGTTTTTGCAGAGGTGCTCAGAATACAACAGTCTAGAAGCATAAACATATAAAGATACACAACATATCCCTCCAAACTGCCAATATCCCAAACCCCTCCTTTAAAGTGCAGGCATTGTACTTCCCATTTCCAGGACTCAAGTCCGACTATATGAAAATAACCGGTTTCCCTGAATCCCTTCACTAAATATTACCCTGCTCACACTCCAACAGATCGTCAGGTCCCAAGTACCATTCGTCTCCATTCACTCCTATCTAACACGCTCACGCACACTTGCTGGAAGTCCAAGCCCCTTACCCACAAAACCTCCTTTACCCCCTCTCTCCAACCCTTTCGAGGACGACCCCTAGTCAAGTACACTTAATAAATTCAACTGAACTAGCTCACAATTAAGTTACACTCACCTCCTCATGATTAATATTCAGCTCTTCCAAAACTTTCGACAAATGGAACTCTTTAATAGGCATTTTCCTGGCCTCGCTGAAGGTCATGTGTCTTAACAAGACTGGGGTTTGAAAGGTCAAGGCATCCATGTCCTCTGTTGCTACAGCATACACCTGTAACATAATTCACAATGTGAAAACTTGATATTTTTAAACAAATTTCAGGGATCAATTTGTAACCTCAACGTAAAAAAAAGAGTTCAATATTAAATCTTGACACCACCTTTACCACCACCCTACTCATGACTCCACCAATCACTCTTTTCTTACCCACACCCATCCTCTTATATCCACAAACTTCTGCTACACACACAAGCAATGTATTCTTTAATTTACCACTTCAACCTCCTCCTCCTCATTTCCTGTACTCTCCTTAGCCCAACTTTCTCCCAATAGTTGCTTATATCTTTTTCCCCTGTCTCTGTCTTTAGTTCATTCACTTTCATTTCTCTTTCTGCTAATTCTATTCTTTCCATATTCCATCTACCTTTGACTGTGGCTACCACTATATAATGACCTGATGTATCTGTTACTTCTCCAAAAATGTGCACATCCCTAAGTCTACTCATTAATATTTTAACTACTAATACAGTCTGACAAGCTGCTATCATTGCACACTATATAAGATATTGTATACTTATTTACCCTCTTTTCCTATTACCAAGCCCCCTTTTTATAGATAAATTAAGAGCTCCTTACCTTGCCAGCCTTGGCTAGTGCAGCACACTGGGCCTCAGCTTCACAAGGAGCCTCTATGTAGGGGATCCCCATCAGCCTTAATAAAGTTTTTGCTTCTTCAGAATGAGTTTTTGTGACCTTCACCAATCGTCGACTAAATTTATCTATATCTTCTACATTACCTACCAAAAAAGTAAAATTTACTTTTAACCTTCTTCGGCTTAAAGAAAAAAAAAATAAATGTAGCATGTACAATGTGTGGGTTCAACATATTAACCCTTTCGGTGTCGGTCCCGTAATATTATGGCTTGAGAACCAGTGTCAGTCCCGTAATACTACGCCAAAATTCTAGCTCCTTCAAATCTGGTAGGCCTACACATGAAAGAATGGGTCTGCATGGTCAATGTGTTCAGTATTTAAAAAATCTTGCAGCAAGCAGTGCATAATGGGAGAAAAAAAAAACTGACCGTGTTTTTGGTTTAAAACCGAATCTGAGGTGCATTTTCATGTGGTATTTATGATTGTATTCTCATTTCCTTGTTCTCATTTGATAGAATGGAAGATATTTTACAGAAATAGAGATGATTTTAATTGGTTTCACAATGAAAAGTAACCTGAAATTGAGCTCAAAGTAGAGGAAATGTTTGATTTTTGCCGATGTTCAAGGGTAAACAAATGACATCAATGTCCAATATGTGTCCTACTGGCCAGTCTAATACGCAGTCACGAATGGGTTGACATCATTTATACAATTATTATAATAATGCAGTAGTCTGTTTAACAGCAAATCTTCTATTTTTTTGCGAGAATAAAAATTCAAAATGGACAGCAAGAGTAATATAGTAGGGGCCTGGAGACATGACTAATGAAGAGAAAATGTTATTTTAGTGCCAGGAATGCCTGCCTTGTTTATTCTGGACCCTATTTTGAAATTAGCATCTTTTGAAATGTGTGAAATTGGCCAAATTGCCAATTTCTGACCACTTTATTGGGTAGTTGAAATTGGTAAATGGGCAGTTTCTCGTACTCATTCGATAGAACAAATGGAGTCATAACGAAATAGCTATGATTTTAGTCGACTGGAACAATGGAATTGGCCAAAAATAAGGCTCAAAGTGGGCAAAATCGCCGATGCGTAAATATCACCGAGATCACTAAACTTCGCGAGAGCATAATTTCGCAAGTTTTCCATCAAATTTCGTACCTTAGGTGTCATTAGCATCAGGAAAAGATTCTCTATCATTTTCACAAGAAAAATTTTTTTTTTTTTTTTTTAATTTTTTGACACAGAGTGAGTCAAGGATCAGGGGTCTTGACACTAAAAGGGTTAAACGAATATTTAAAAAAAAAATTATATAGACAATAATACCATCAGCTGACCTTTTTTAGCAGTTTCTTAATATGTTCCTGTCAAATTAAATTTTTATTAATGCACCACTAAAATACCTACAATTTCATATTTTATGTGTCCTCTTAAAACAAAAGATAAATGGATTGTACAGTACTAAAGCAGAAGATAATAAAGAACAGACAAACACATGAGCAAAGAGACATACTGTACCTTAACCCTTTGGGGGTCGACAGGTCCTCTCAGAGACTTGTTCTCAGGGTTGGCCAAATTTAAAAAAAAAAATTATTTTTTCCTATGAAAAGATAGAGAATCTTTTCCCGATCATAATGGCACCAAAAGTATGAAATTTGATGGAAAACTTATGGAATTATGCTCTAGCGAAGTTAGTGGTCTCAACAATGTTTACACATTGGCGATTTTGCCCACTTTGAGCCCTATTTTCAGCCAATTCCACTGTACTAGTCGACAAAAATCATAACTATTCCGTTAGAACTCCATTTTTTCTATCGAATGAGTACAAGAAACCACCCATTTACCGATTTCAGCTATCCAATAAAGTGGTCAGAATTTAGCAATTTTGCCAATTTCACACAAGTTTCAGAAGATGCCAATTTCCGAATAGGGTCCATAATAAACAAGAAAGACATTCCTGGCAATAAAATAACAAGCTCTCTGTTTGTTAGTCACATCCCCAGGCCCCTCTTATGTTTCTTTGGCTTTCCACTTTGAATTTTTATTCGTACAAAGAAAATAAGATTTACTGTTATGCAGACTACTGCATTAGTGTAGAAATGATATAAATAATATCAGAACACTTGTGAAAGAATATTAGACTCGCCAGTTGATGTGTATTGGACGCTTGACATGATTTCTTTACTTTTGAACTTCGGTAAAAATCGAACATTTCTACTACTTTGAGCTCAATTTCAAGGTACTTTTCATAGTAAAACCAGTCAAAATCATCTCAATTTCTGTAATATGTCTTCCATTCTATAAAATGAGACCAAGAAAATTAGAATACAACAATAAATACCATACGAAAATACAGTGCAAAGTCGCTGTTTTAATCCAAAAACACCGTCGAAGTTTTTTTTCTCATTATGCACTGTGTGCTGCAGGATTTTTTTTATACTGCACACACTGACCACATAAACCCATTCTTTCATATGTAGGCCTACCAGCTTTCTCTCACTAAATTTGAGGGTGCTAGAATTTAGGCGTACTAGTACGTCAAAAACCCTGGGTCATAAGACGTACTAGTACGTCTGAAACCCCCAAAGGGTTAATAATACAGTGGAACCACAGGTTTCGTCCTTAATCCATTCCTGAAGGTCGGTCTAAATCCAAAATGGATGAAAACCGAAGCAATATTTCCCATAAAAAATAATGAAAATACAATTAACCTGTTCCAGACACCCAAAAATATTAACAAAAAATACATTTAAAAAATAACTATAGTTTTACATACAGAAAACAATGAAAAGGAAATATAAATGACTAATGAAATGGATAAATGAATATTTAACATCACACTTACCTCTACTGAAGACTCTTGTTGGGGTATGGACAGCAAGGAGGGGAGAGGGAGGAGGAGCAGAGGTTATTGTTTGGAAGGGGAATCCCCCTCCATAAGGGCTTCAGGTATCAAGGCCCTATCCGGGGTTACTTCCCTTCTTTGTCTTTTACTGGCAGTGAACCTCTGTTGCACTACAAATCTGTCCAGAGAGCTCTGTTTCTGGCATCTCTTTAAAGATTTGCCTAAAATGGGACAAGGTATTGTCACCGAAAATGTTGCAGATACAAATGTCCTTAATCACCCCTTTTGCAACATCAGCCTCCTTGATTTCTACTTTCTTTGCCAGGATGAAACAGATTGTTGATTTGGATTTGACATACATCCTGGCGAACTCGACCACATGTATGCCACTTTCGTATTTTTCTACAATCTCTTTCTTGAATTCTCACCTTTACCAAAGGGTTAGCACTAGGAACTTTCTTTGGGCCCCTGGTAGCTTATTTCGCAGTCGCACTCAATAAATAAATACAAAAAAAAATGAAGTATTATGAAATGTTTCAAATGAATGGTCACTCAACCAGTGATAGTCAGACTGAGACATGTACTCATGAGTGGCGGCATCCTAGGTGGGCGGACGCATCTGATATGGATGATTTCCAGGATGAGGTACGAAATCCGGAGCAAAATTTAGCTGAAAAAAGTGGTCAAAATCCAAATTGTACGCTATCTGGTGCAGACGAAATCCGGGGTTCCAGTGTATTTTCACATATTTTATTTGAAACCATTCTCATTTAAAAAGTCAACTCAACATGTTCAAGCATCAACATTATTTAAAAGAAGCAAATATATTTAACATCTGACAAGTCTATGACTTTACGTAAGTATGACAGACTCTTCATTCTGAAGCTTTAGTTTACTATAATTAGAAAATATCACAATAGTTTAGTTACAGTGTATCTTTCAAATTAAATCTGCTAATGATTCTAGTAATCGCCACTCTCCATAATCGTGTTTCAAACCAGGACTTCCAAATTGGAAAAAGAAATATTACTGGAACAAGAATTACAATGCAAATATTGAGAAACAAAGTAAATACAGTGGAACCGTGGTTTTCATACTCCCCGGCTTGCATGTAAAACAACAGTTATTCTCCATAAAACGTATTTTTGTTAATATTTTTGGTGTCTGGAAAGGATTAATTGGATTTACATTATTTATTATGGGAAATATTATAAAAAAAATACATCTTAGAGAACAACTGTGGTTTTACATGCAAGCTGGGGAGTACGAAAACTGGGTTTTTAAGATTTATCTACCGTACAGGTTTAAGAAACAAAGAACAACCCAATAAGCCTCCTAGTGCATAACATTTAGCAGACTTCTGTTTCACTCATATGACAGAATATTGGTACATCCCTTAGCAGTTGCTGTTTGCCTTGGATGTACAGTTCTGTATCCCTGGTCACTTCCTACCAACTGGACATTATCCAAAATACAGTTCTTTACACTGCTTTAGGTTCATTTTCAACTACTGAAATTTCAGTTCTTTAAGTAGAGTCAGGTGTAGTTTCCAGCTTCAGTCAAAGATGCATCTAGATCCACTGTATCTATACTACTTTCCAGATATCTTGATCTCTTGGGTGTTCACCACTTAGTTCACCCCTCGTCTATCTCACTAGGTTAGTGCCTAGGCATTATTGCTCTTTCATCTAATTCTTTCTTCCAGATCCATGTTACCTCTGTTTTTTTTTTTTTTCCTAGTATAATCCAAATCCATCTTGGACCCTGCTGCAAGTCACTGAAGACTTTTTTTTTTTTTTTAAAGAATACTGTCAGTAAGTACATGGGTCTTTCTTTCTGCATCTATACCAAAATTTCCTTTTTTAGAAGCTAGGTTTGATTCCTTATCCTTATCTTTCATAATATTTTTATATTTTATAACCAAACATAGCATTTCACTTCACTTAGGATCTTTGACACTGTCTTAGAAAACTTTCCTTTTTGTTATTCTAGTAGGTCCTGTTCATGTTTTTTACTTAAGCTTCCCACAATTTAAATACAAACCAGGATAAATTACTTACATTAAATCCCCCATTATAATGACAATAAATAGTTTTTTAATATTTTAAGACAGGATTTTATGTAGAGAGTGTTATAACGAGTACCATTTTAATGTTTGCCAAGAAAAATGTATATGCCATACAAAAAATTCAACAAATGAATATTATTTAAAAGCACAAACCTGCTTCTTCAGCTTTTTCCAAAGCCTTCTGTGCCTCTTCCCTTCGCTCCTGTCGCTTTGCTAGTTCTCCACCCTTCATAGTTGGAGGCTTACCATCAAAAACATACATGGGCTTAATTCCATTATCTACCATACGAATGGTTCGATAGAAGAAACCCATCAAGTGACTGCAAACCAATACAAAATGAACATCAAAATGGTATACAATACCGACAGGTTGTTAGGTAAGACACATATGCAACAGTTAGGTATCTTTATTATGAAACGTTTCGCCTACACAGTAGGCTTCTTCAGTCGAATACAGAAAGTAGGCAGGAACAGTAGAGATATGAAGACGATGTAATCAGTCCATCACCCTTGAAGTCGTAGAATTTGAGGTTGTCAGTCCCTCGGCCTGGAGAAGTTCAGTTCCATAGTCAGGAACTATCTGAAGATCAAGCAAGCAAGCAAACATGTTTAGGTAAGATCCCAATGGGATGAGCGGGGAAGACGGGACAGATGAAGAATAGCTCTGGAGAGGAGTGTTCTTAGTAAGAGAAATAGAGCGAGGGCTTAACCCAGCAGCTAAGGCGATCGTGGGGCAGACTTGAGAACAGGAATAGCAGGGACTGTTGCATTGAACTTGTGGTAGTTGAAGTCTTGAATCTTGAGTAGCTGGCAGCAGGCTAGGTCACATCAGAGGGTAGAACACATATGGGAGTTATAGGAGTAACTGAGGAGGCAGGTTAGCAATGGAGCCATTTTCAAACTTTTTGAAGCTGCTTCTAGATAGGTGGTATAATTTAGCCTTGTTGCTGAAGGTGAAACGTAGAGGCTTGATGAACTCAAGAACTTGGGTGAGTGTGAAGTGAAGCGGTGATTCACATGCATACTTGACTGTTCCAGCACCGAGGCTTTTGACTATGGAACTGAACTTCTCCAGGCCGAGGGACTGACAACCTCAAATTCTACGACTTCAAGGGTGATGGACTGATTACATCGTCTTCATATCTCTACTGTTCCTGCCTACTTTCTGTATTCGACTGAAGAAGCCTACTGTGTAGGCGAAACGTTTCATAATAAAGATACCTAACTGTTGCATATGTGTCTTACCTAAAAACCAATACAAGTTTACTTAAATTATGCAGCACTAATATCTACAAATTTTTATACTACTTATTGCATTATTAAAAAAATTCTGTATGGAAAGTTCATCTCCAGTGCTCTCACACACAAACTGAAATGCTAGTCACCTTATTAGCATACTAGATACTGATAACATATCAAATTATTATTGAAAACATGAAGCTGAAAAAGCTGTCCTTTATTAGTCATACTGTACAGTGATAATAGTAATAATTGTAATGAAGTTTGCATATGCAGTAAATAAAGTGTCAAAACTAAAAGCACCAAATTCAAAGAAATTAATGAAACCAAACATGTACAAAATTGAGTTTTTTTTTTACCTTGTAACTTCTCCATCAGCATTTGTGAGCATGTTACCTTCCTGTCGAACAGCAACAAGAAACTGGTACAAACTCATCGATGCATCCACTGCCACTTTACGACCTGAGAAATGTTTTAAATTTTGATAACTTATAATATTGCGATTAAGGGGTGATCTACACAAAAGCATGGAGTGTATAAAACAAAAGTATAAAAGCATTAATAAGAGAGTGGATATGGAATTTCTTTAAAAAACTAAATATCTTAGTTATTTAGTGTACAGTGGAACCTCAATATTCGTACATCCCTACACAAGTACCATCCGACTTATGACCGAGCTTGGTTCCGACCAACTGGTCATAAGTCAAAATGGACGCAAGTCGAACCTTATGCTGTTAGTACTGTATTTTATGCTGCAAGCTTTAGGAGAAACACTGTGCAAAACAAACAGTTGTTTATTTGCATACAAAACATTCGTATGCATGAAAAAATACGAAAATATTCATATGCACGAACAGAAAAGTATACAATAACTTAAGCTAAGCTATAAACAGTACGGTCGTAAAGTACGAGTGGTTGTATGTCAAGCAGGTCATAAGTCAGTACAGGTCTCCCTCAACATTCGCGAGGGTTAGGGGATCAAGAGCCTCGCGAATGTTGAAAAACCGTGAATGTTTGGTGCCTCAATATATTGTAGGGAAATATATTACAATACTGCTTCCTTAACTTGTTGAACCATGAATAATCATAAAATACATGAAAATGTCGTAAATTGTACTAAATATATACATGTTATGCTTTAATAACATATGTTATTTATAACATGTATGTTAATAACATGTATTTTATTAAATACCACAGACTCCACCACTGCGAGTCCCTACTACCCTCCCTCCGACCCCCGCAACTGGCAACCAGCCCTCCCACCACTCAGTGTGGTGAGTGTTTTGTTTGTTCATTATTTGCTATTAAACTACAGAATAAATAATGTAAACCCATTCATGACTGCATATTGGAATGGCTATCAGGAAAGTTATTAGACGGTGACATCATGTGTTCACTCTTGAACACAGCAAAGAATCGAACATTTCTGCTATTGCTAATAATAACAATAGTAATAATAATAATAATAAATAATAATAAATACGATATAATTGAAGAAGGAAATTGTACAAAAATACAAGGGAGTGGTTGACACATCGTCAGTGTGACTTTGTTTATGCTGGAGTGAACATTAGTCTCCCTGCTCTTCCAAACATTTCACAATAATTCAGCAGTTGAGGCAGTGGTATTTAATAACATATATGCTATAAATAATAATAGTACATGTTATTATTAATAACTTGTATTATTATTAACATGTATGTATTTAATAACATATATGTTATAAATAATAATAGTATATATTATTAATAGAATGTATTATTATTAACATGTATGTTACTAACCCTTTCAGGGTCCAAGGCCCAAATCTGGAGTCACGCACCAGTGTCCAAGAATTTTCAAAAAAAAAATTGGTTATTTTTTCTTATGAAATCGTAGAGAATCTTTTTGTGAAGGTAATAAAACAAAAAGTACGAAATTTGGTGGAAAATTGACGAAATTATGCTCTCGCGAATTTTGATGTGTCAGCGATATTTACGAATTGGCGATTTTGCCGACTTTGACTCCCATTTTAGGCCAATTACATTATTCCAATCAACCAAATTCTTAGCTATTCACTAGTATTACTTCTATTCTATCGATTGAGCACAAGAAATCGCCAAGTCAACTGTTTCAACTACAAAAAAAGTGATCGGAAATTGTTAATTTGGCCAATTTAACACAAAGTTCAAAAAAATTCCAATTTCAAAATAGGGTCCAGAATGAACAATGTAGGCATTCCTGGCACTAAACTAACATTTCCTCTGTTCATTAGTTATGTTTTGAGGCTTTACAAATAAATTCCATTTTTATTTTTTATTCACATAATGAATTTTTATTCACACCAAAAAATAGAAGATTTACTGTTATGCAATACTGTAATAATTGTATAAATATCATCACCATATTTGTGAATGTATATTAGACCCACCAGCTGACGTGTATTAGACGTGTGAGGTCGTTTGTTTACTCTTGAATATCGGCAAAAATTTAACATTTCTGCTACTTTGAGCTCAGTTTCAAGCCATTTCCAGTGCTAAAACCAATCAAAATCATCTCTATTTCTGTAATATGTCTTCCATTCTATCAAATGAGACCAAGAAATCGCAAATACAACTATAAAAAACATACGAAAAAACACTGCAAACTTGCTGTTTTAATCGAAAAATCGTGATTACATTTTTTTTTCTCTCATTATACACAGTGTGCTGCAGGATCTGTTTTATGTGGTGCACACATACCACATAGATGTATTCTCTCATATCTAGGCCCAAATGTACCACTCACAGTTTATCAGAGTGAGCTGAGCTCATGGCGTAGATCTACGGTTTGGACCCTGAACGTAAAGCCGTAGATCTACGGGACGGACCCTGAAAGGGTTAAATACCATTGCCTCAATCACTGCCTCTACCACTCCAGTCACACTCAATCTACAAGCACTAAACACAATGAATTATTGTGAAATGTTTGGAAGAGCAGGGAGACTAATGTTCACTACAGCATATTCAAAGTCACACTGACGATGTGCCAACCACTCCCTCGTATTTTTGTACAATTTCCTTCTTCAATTATATCATATTTATTATTATTATTATTATTATTATTATTATTATTATTATTACTATTGTTATTATTAGCTGTAGCAGAAATGTTTAATTCTTTGCAGTGCTCAAGAGTAAACACATGATGTCACCGTCTAATACCTGTCCGAATAGCCATTCCAATATGCAGTCATGAATGGGTTTACATTATTTATACTGTAGTTTAATAGCAAATAATGAACAAACAAAACACTCACCACACTGAGTGGTGGGAGGGCTGGCTGCCAGTTGCGGGGGTCGGAGGGAGAGTAGTAGGGACTCGCAGGTGGCGGGAAACTTAAATATGATTTGGTGGCTGGGAATTTGGAGGTTGGTAATTCGCGAATGTGTGAAGCCCATGAAAGTTGAAAACGTGAATGTTGAGGGAGACCTGTACATACTCATATTCGTACTTGATATTCACCCAACTTTAAGAAAAATCTGACTCGGTATTCAGACACTGCCCTTATATTTGACCTAAACAAAACGGTCAATCTGGATGAAGCCCGATGAAAACAAACCATCACGTGCTCTCTCTCGTCAGCTTTCGTTCGTTAAGCATCATTTGTACAAGCTTCGTGAAACTTTGTGGTATTTCATTATTATTCTATGATGTTTTTAAAATATTTTCATTGAAGATAAGTAAACATGGTCCCAAAAAAGGGTAGTGATCCAAACAAGCCTAAAAGGACAGTGAGAACAATAATTAAAGTGAAAAAAAGAATTCACTGCAAAGTTGGAAAGTAGAACATGTGTATCAGACCTGGCCATTCAATATGGTATGATGAAATCTACCCCATCATCCATAGTGAAAAATAAAGAGGCAATAAAAGAGGCTGATGTGGCAAAAGGAGTGAAAATTCTTGCTGTGAAAAGGTCACAGATAATTGAAGAAATGGAAAGACTTTTGTTCGTTTGAATTAACTAAAAACAATTGGCCAGTGACAGTGTTTCTGAAACAATAATTTGTGAATAATCAAAGCAGTTATATAGTGATCTTAGTGCTCAAAGTGATGAATTTAAGGCAAGCAAGGGCTGGTTTGATAGGTTAAAATAAGGAGTGGGATTCATAGTGTAGTAAGGCATGGGAAGGCTGCCACTGCTAACAGAGATGAAGCTGAAAAGTATGTTAAGGAATTTAAAACTTATGTAGACATTGAGGGATTTATTCCTCAACAAGTTTTTAATTGTGATGAAATCGGTTTCCTCTGGAAGAAGAATGCCTGAGAGAACCTACCTGGAGTTTACCTGGAGTTTACCTGGAGAGAGTTTCGGGGGTCAACGCCCCCGCGGCCCGGTCTGTGACCAGGCCTCCTGGTGGATCAGCGCCTGATCAACCAGGCTGTTGCTGCTGGCTGCACGCAAACCAACGTACGAGCCACAGCCCGGCTGATCAGGAACTGACTTTAGGTGCTTGTCCAGTGCCAGCTTGAAGACTGCCAGGGGTCTGTTGGTAATCCCCCTTATGTGTGCTGGGAGGCAGTTGAACAGTCTCGGGCCCCTGACACTTATTGTAGGGTCTCTTAACGTGCTAGTGACACCCCTGCTTTTCATTGGGGGGATGGTGCATCGTCTGCCAAGTCTTTTGCTTTCGTAGTGAGTGATTTTCGTGTGCAAGTTCGGTACTAGTCCCTCTAGGATTTTCCAGGTGTATATAATCATGTATCTCTCCCTCCTGCGTTCCAGGGAATACAGGTTTAGAAACCTCAAGCGCTCCCAGTAATTGAGGTGTTTTATCTCCGTTATGCGCGCCGTGAAAGTTCTCTGTACATTTTCTAGGTCGGCAATTTCACCTGCCTTGAAAGGTGCTGTCAGCGCCCTACATTAAAAAAAAAAAAAAAAAATTTACCAGGACACAAGCCCATGAGAGAGAATCTAACACTCTTGTTGTGTGTTAATGCTAGTGGGTCTTGAACAGATTAATCCAATTTACATTATTTCTTATGGGAAAAATTGATTCAATATTTGTACAACTCACTATTTGAACAGCCTCCTGGAATGGATTATGTTTGAATAGCGAGGTACCACTGTATTAAGTTTAAGGAATACGAACTACACAAGTCCATTAACAATGCGTACGCCACCTGTCAAGAATACTTAAGCAATGAAATAGGAATTAAAGTAAATCCTTAGTATGCTGTACATTCAATGAGATATAAACCTGTGTATATAACCTAGATTCTTTAGACAAAATGCTTTACTCAAAGAAATTAAGGAAATATGAACAGACAAGGCTAACATGCACATGATGTCTAAAAGTGATGAGGTAATAAAGTTTTGACGAAACAATTTCAGTGCCCTTGTATGAAACAGTGGACGTGCCAAGATATAACTTACATTATTTATGAATATGCATATGCAAGAAATTATTACAGCATAGATATAGTGCAGTTCATACATAATGAAGTGATTTTTGCTATAGTGGAATGAATAAAATATCCCTTATAAATTACAAGATAAAGTAGTTCTAAGATCGAGAGCACAGTACAGTATTAGTTATTCTATTGGATTTAACAGCCAACTCAGTTTTATAATAATAATAATAATAATAATAAAACTAATAATAATAATTTTATTTCAGCATGATACAATGTTTGTACCGAGATAGGTGACATGTAGTTGTGCATGCAGAAAGTCCATTATGCAGAGCATTTTGGGCAGTATATAACTACAATCCCATTACTGTACTACAGATTCATTAAATCAAGGTCCATTAAATTTGGGGTATACTATACTACTAAACTAATGATAAACTAAGAAATAATAGTAATGTAAAATATTGAAAGCTAATAATGCTTAAGAAAAATTACATGTATAAAAACCCTCATAAAGATTTAAATCCTCTTGAGGCATTAAATATACTGTATCTTAGGTTAGAATATTAGACAATATCATTTATTGTATCTAACTATGCAATATTGGAACTTTCAATTTTAATTACAAACAACTTTTGTCATGGTGTTATACCTCCTAATACAGTAAACACTATATATAATGAACTAATTTGGGGGAGCAGGTGGCTGATAATGGCAATTATGGTGGATAGAGAAGAGATTGTTTTGACATGATTTTAACAATAATTAACAATTCTGTAAACAACAGAATTAGTCCAGTTTCCAAATTAACTAACCCGGTGGATTTTTTTTCTGGAGGTTCATTGTATGGAGGGTTTCCTGCATAACTAAAGAAAGAAAATAAAGTACTGATGAATTGGGTAATTATCTTAGGTCATCACAGGTAATAACTGAATGTTACTGCTCAGCAAATTTCTGTAATAAAATACAGTTTAAAATTTACAATAATGAGTAGGTTTCAGTGACAGCATATATGGCATTATGTTGTATAAATGGTAAGAAACAATCAAACCTAACGGAACCCATTTAACCTAAGATAGAGCTTTGCTTACATCCACTGCACCTCTGTTTACATTTGCTATGACTGGCCACATGTCAACACTATGCGGTAATTGGCTCTGACGTGCAGCTCATGCCAATTTTTTTTTTTTTCTGATATCTCTTAAATTAACAATTTGCCGAAGAAATAAATGGTGGTGTAGATGGCTTGTACACATCGTAAAATATGTATAAAATGTGTGATTTTCACTAAGGAGTATACTTCAATTATAACATGAATCACTTTTCTATATAATCATGTACATGTATGAGATTTTGTTTATATATTTAAACCAGAGGGTTAGCCATCTAGTATAGCACAATACAGTAAGTGCATTATGGGGACTGTGTCTTACTTCCATTGGGATTCTTTTGATTTTGTCCCCAGGATGCAACCCACAACACTCAGGCACTTACTGCTAGGTGAACAGGGGCAGCAGGTGCCAAGAAAACATGCCCATAATTTCCACCCATGCTGGGGATCAAAACATTCAGCAAGTGATCTAAGTTTTCTATCAACCAAGACACAGGACGCCCTAATTTATTTATATGGCAATGCCATTCATCAGACATAGTAATGGGATGCCCTTCAAGGGAGGTTGCTTCATGCTAATGAGAGACACCTTGATGCAAGAAGTGAACCTATTCTCCCCTTCCTTGGATTAAATCTAACTGCCTCCCATTCCCCCTGGCATTTTGACCCCTACGGGTTTAGCGTCTCCCCAAATATAAGTTATAGAAAGAATAAAAAAAATTAATGTCATTTCACCATATGCATGCAAAAAATGGTGAAAAACATTCACATCATCTCATGAAAAAACCTGGCACACTGTACTCATCAAATGCACGAAAAACAGATTTTTAAACATTTATCCCATGTCAACGTCTAAAGACTTTTTATATTATCAGTTAGGTTTCCAAACTACAATCTTTGTATGGTTAATAAGATATAAAAAAAAGAAATAATTTTAATTTGCGCACCAAAAAAATCTTGTGCAAGAAACTGTCAACAATCTTGCTCCATCAGTCATGCTTACCGAAGTAGTTTTTAATCTCATTTTCTTTAACAGCTGATGGTGCAACATCAGCTATAAGCTTCGCTAATCCCAAAATACCCATGATGCTAATTTATGATGAAATGAGTTGAAATGCAGAGGTGCAGATGCCGTGACAGCTGTAACACGTTAACAAAATAAACTCTCAAAAGCCCGCCAACAAGGGCGTTCATTTACACACAAAAAGTCATACATCATCTTATTATAATAATTTTTATTTGGGAAATCTGAAAATACATTGCACACAGTAGCATAAATTTCCACAATGGTTCTGAGGGCTCAATGTTACATTAAGTAAACTTACCCTGAGACAAGGACCCCCAATGGAAATAAAAGTAATTTTGTCTGACTTTTGGGTTATCTTAAGTAATTTACATATATATTACTTATGTATGATAATTTGTGTAACTGTATTTATGTGTATCTTTACCTATATAAACTTATTTACTTATTTATAACCCCGTCAAGGCAAAAGCTCTTCAAATTTTTGCAGTATTATTTTTAAAAATAATGCATTATTATTATTATTATTATTATTATTATTATTATTATTATTATTATTATTATTATTATTTATTATTATTATATTATTATTATTTATTATTATTATATTATTATTATTATTATTATTATTATTATTATCATCATCATCATCATCATTATTATTATTTTTAAACATATTGCATAAAATATAAGTTTAAACCTGACTTTTTGGGGATAACCTAGGTACTTTACACATATGCTGCTATGTATGATAATCTATGATAATTTGTGTATACCTGAATAAACTTACTAACATTTACACACCCTAAACATAAAGGACCTGGACTATTATAACACAAACAGAACATGAAACTAATATCCAAATATGGCGCATGGTACATATACTCTGTAAGACATGCACGAACCATACACCAGACGCTGAAAAGGCAGACAAGTGCATGAAAATGTATATGGCCCGCCCCGTAACACCAACACATATACTAATATAAAAATACCAATTCCAATGGCATCAACATTGATCCGGCAAAACAACTTATCACTTAATATACACAATATGCACTCATACAATTGTGCCTATTATATACGTATATAGGATAGATAGGATTCGTTCGGTTTAACCGGAGGGTTCCACCAGGATAACCCAGAAGTCAGTGCGTCTGAGAAATGTCTAACTTATTTCCATTGGGGTCCTTAATCATTTCCACAGGATGCGAATCACTCAGTGACCTACACCCAGGAACTTTTGCTGTGGTGAACAGGACAACAGGTGTAAGGAAACGTTCGAATGTTTCCATCCCCGGGAATCGAACCGGGCCCTTGTGCGAGCTTAGCCACCGCCACCGACAATCAGTTCCTATATATCCCAGTTTATGTTTCCCCGACTCATTGGTTATCTAGTAATTACAGTATGTATGATAATCGTACTTATGTGTACCTGTGCCTTAAACTTAATTATAGCTGTAAAAGAAAGCAGGCAGAGCACATCCCCCGTGTCCGACTCGACTGCGTAAAAACTCAATTGGTATAAAAGGTTCTAAAATCTGAACTTCAGATTTAAACATGTAAATAGTTTATTACCACTGTAACTTGTGTAACTATCAAAACTTTGGGAGGCCAGTCCCTGGACCCATTATGTGCCTCTTTAATCTTTTGGCTTTTATAAACCTTGGTAATTAATACCGACGAGTTGGTTTAGAAAAACACGTAAGCAAACACCTTGATCAAGGTCCTGGGGCCTTGATCAAGGTCTCAGGACCGAAACCCAGCGCTGTATAGCCCTTGTGGCTTAGCGCTTCTTTCTGATTATATCTTATATATCAGGACCGAAACGCTTTCTAATAAATATGTCCTAGTGTTTGATTACGTGTTTTTTCTACACCAATCTTTTGAGTACCGCCCACAGGATAGAGATGGGATGCATATTAAATATATTAAACTAACCTGCCTGAAGCACTGGAAGGTCCCCCTATCTGCCAGTAGATTCAGAGGTATTGTTAAAAAGCACCATATCTCCTTAACCTAACTGAGACAGCAATGCTTTCATCCAATTCTGTTCATGTTCTTTTAGCCATCCTTCAACTCGATGACGCACTGCCTTTCTTGGGTTATCCTGAGTGGCTAACCCTCCGGGGTTAAAAATCCAAATAAAATCTTGTCTTAATTCCCATACATAGTTGGTAACATGTCCAATTTTATTTGTATTGTAATCTAAGTAACTTGCTGTATCTATTCAATCACTTCACAAAACTGAAGATTATTAGTTATTATTTTTATTATTATTATTATTACATGTATTATAATCAAGGGGAAAGCACTAAACCCATAGGATTATACAGTGCCTGTGGAGGAGTGTGGAAGGTATTCAGATTTAATTCAGGGAACTGAAGCACAGATCCAATTCACTAGATCAAGAGCCCTGCACCAGCATCAAGGAACCTACCTTGAGGGGCAAAGATTATTGAATCACTTTACATAATATGTAATTCTTTTGTGATTGACCATCTGTTATTAGCAGCCTTTCTTATTGTACTTATGACTTTAGTTAACCCGGTTGGCCCGGTGGTCTGGTGGCTAAGCTCCCGCTTCACACACGGAGGGTCCGGGTTCGATTCCCGGCGGGTGGAAATTCCGACACGTTTCCTTATTGTCCTGTTCACCTAGCAGCAAATATGTACCTGGGTGTTAGTCGACTGGTGTGGGTCGCATCCTGGGGGACAAGATTAAGGACCCCAATGGAAATAAGTTAGACAGTCCTCGATGACGAACTGACTTTCTTGGGTTACCCTGGGTGGCTAACCCTCCGGGGTTAAAAATCCGAACGAAATCTTATCTTATCTTATCTTAAGAAGTCCTACTTAATAGTCTATGTCTAGTTCTTAAGTATTCTTTTTGATTATAATAATAATAATACTAGTTCTTAAGTAACATGTAAGCTTATTATGAAACACATTGCATAATTAGTGGCTTTCTTATTTGCCTTCTATTGTATTAATTAATTTAAACTATATTATTTGTAAGCATAAGAAGTAAACATTATTATTTTTTTTCAACCTCAGCGATTGTCTCTCACTGAGGCAGTTTGACGTGAAAAAGAAAAAAAACACTTTCACTATCACTCATTCCATTACTGTCTTACCAGAGGAGTGCCAATACTACAGTTCAAAACTGCAAATATCCGCACCCCTCTCCTTTAGTGCAGGCACAGTATTTTCCACCTCCAGGACTCAAGTCTGGCTAACCGGTTTCCCCATATTCCTTCATAAATGTTATCTTGCTCACACTCCAACAGCATGCCAAGTGATGAATTAACAAGATTAGAAATTGCCATATCAGTAGTAATTTATCTTACAGATAAAAATGTTCCCCCAAAGGCCATTGCTGGTGGTGACTTTGGTATGGTCCAGCCAGTGTCTGTTGTGGAGGTGTATACAGAGTAGATCAAAATCAATTAATGATTAAGATCACATTATATTTGTAGGGGAAGCACTAAACCTGTAGGAGTCATACAGCACCTGGGGCAATGGAAGGCATTCAGGTTCAATTCAAAGAACTGGAGCACAGGTTCAGTCTTCTAGGTCAAGAGCCCCACACCAGCATTAAGGGGAACATTGAAATCACAAAATGGCTGCAGTATAGAGAGAACCTACTTTAGCTGCTGGGAGTCATAGTAATTCAGACCATTCTCTTCTCATGGTATGCATACATTGCATACTGTAACAGCACTAACAGCACCTTTCAAGGCAGGTGAAATTGCCTGACTTGACCTTGAGGTTCCTAAACCTGTATTCCCTGGAACGCAGGAGGGAGAGATACATGATTATATACACCTGGAAAATCCTAGAGGGACTAGTACCGAACTTGCACACGAAAATCACTCACTACGAAAGCAAAAGACTTGGCAGACGATGCACCATCCCCCCAATGAAAAGCAGGGGTGTCACTAGCACGTTAAGAGACCATACAATAAGTGTCAGGGGCCCGAGACTGTTCAACTGCCTCCCAGCACACATAAGGGGGATTACCAACAGACCCCTGGCAGTCTTCAAGCTGGCACTGGACAAGCACCTAAAGTCAGTTCCGGATCAGCCGGGCTGTGGCTCGTCTATGTTGGTTTGCGTTGCAGCCAGCAGCAACAGCTGGTTGATCAGGCTCTGATCCACCAGGAGGCCTGGTCTCAGACCGGGCCGCGGGGGCGTTGACCCCCGGAACTCTCTCCAGGTAAACTCCAGGTAGAAAATGTACAGAGAACTTTCACGGCGCGCATAACGGAGATAAAACACCTCAATTATTGGGAGCGCTTGAGGTTCCTAAACCTGTATTCCCTGGAACGCAGGAGGGAGAGATACATGATTATATACACCTGGAAAATCCTAGAGGGACTAGTACTGAACTTGCACACGAAAATCACTCACTACGAAAGCAAAAAGACTTGGCAGACGATGCACCATCCCCCCAATGAAAAGCAGGGGTGTCACTAGCACGTTAAGAGACCATACAATAAGTGTCAGGGGCCCGAGACTGTTCAACTGCCTCCCAGCACACATACGGGGGATTACCAACAGACCCCTGGCAGTCTTCAAGCTGGCACTGGACAAGCACCTAAAGTCAGTTCCTGATCAGCCGGGCTGTGGCTCGTACGTTGGTTTGCGTGCAGCCAGCAGCAACAGCCTGGTTGATCAGGCTCTGATCCACCAGGAGGCCTGGTCACAGACCGGGCCGCGGGGGGCGTTGACCCCCGGAACTCTCTCCAGGTAAACTCCAGGTAAACTGTATTTTGCAAGTTAAGTGAAATTAATCATTTGCCATGGTTTATAAAATCTGTCATTATCTAAAATGGACTAGTGTCTTTGACAAATTACTTTATATGTTCTTTGAAGAAGTGACTATGACCCTCCTCAACACTTAATTTTTAAATTCCACATATGTACAGTACAGTATATGCCTATTTTAGATATTGTTGTTCATCCTTAAAAAAGACTACGGTTTCACTGATTAAAGTTAAACAAACATGTTAGTCTTTTATGTGCCGGTACAAACCATCACATCCTTAGAGTAGAAGCAACTGGCAATGAGAAAGAATTTATGGCAAGAATGAACGTGCTGTAGAAGAATCTTTGAATTATTAACCTTGGAGGGCTTTTTACTCATGAAAATGTATGAAAGCCCAACAGTGTGGCTTTAGTCCTCTTCCACTGTAAATACCTTTGTAACTTGTCATGATTGTGACTAGACCTACCTGGAGTTCATTACCTTTGTAATTTGTGAGTTCCTTACCTTTGTAAATTGTGAATTCATTACCTCTGTAACTTGCTCAGCTATCAAAACTTTGGAGTCCAGTCCCTGGACCAATTATGTACCTCTGTAATCTTTTGACTACCGCCCACAGGATGGGTATGGGGTGCATAATAAACATATTAAACTTAACTCTAAAATTTGTTCATGATTGTAGCCATGTATAAACGCAAGTAACCATTCTTACAGTATTCATTACCTTTGTAACTTGTGAGTTCATTACCTTGTACCTAGTTCAGCCATCAAAACTTTGGGGCCCAGTCCCTGGACCCATTGTGTACCTCTATAATCTGTTAATACCTTTGTAACTTGTCATGATTGTGACTAGACCTACCTGGAGTTCATTACCTTTGTAAATTGTGAATTCATTACCTCTGTAACTTGCTCAGCCATCAAAACTTTGAGGCCCAGTCCCTGGACCCATTATGTACCTCTGTAATCTTTTGACTACCACCCACAGGATGGGTATGGGGTGCATAATAAACATATTAAACTAACTTCCACTGGATGCAACCCACAATAGCTGACTAACAGGTGCCTACCTGCTGCTAGGTGAATATGGGCTACATGTTTAAGTGTACCTGCTCACACTTCTTGACTTGCCTGGAATTTGGTTGTGAGCCAGACATGTTACCATTGTATGCAAAATGTACAGTAGAGCAAACTGTATGTACAGGTACAATTTTTTTTACACTGGCTATGATTTCATCACAACCTAATTTTAGCATCTCACAGGGTCAGTAGAAATTGGATGCAATCAATACTTTTTTTGTCCTGAGGTCACTTGTTCTTGCTACACCTTTAGGTCATGTGATTCCATTTTATATGTATATGAGGTAAGTTTCAGCTCTTGTGCTGTTATTAGTTTACTGAAGAGGGCCTTAGTGCAAAATATATAGTTAATTTATTGGGTTTGAAGCCTATTGACTACATGAGGGTTTTGAGACTCTCTGACCGCAGGTTCAATCCCGCCCGTGGTATGGTTTGTTTGCAATCGTGTCATTATGATTTCGTGAGTCATGAGGGTTATTGAGGCTGCATGTAACCTTTACACCCCCAGTCAAGGATATTTCTATCCTTCAAAAAGGGATTAAACTCAATGCCTGATGTACATTCACACTGAGATCATTTTTTTTTTAACACGTTGGCCATTTCCCACCGAGACAGGATGACCCAAAAAGAAAGAAAAGACTTTCATCATCATTCAACACTTTCACCATTATTCATACATAATCAGTCTATAGGGGAAGGAAGGCGGGGTAGGGGTCGTCCTCGAAAGGGTTGGAGAGAGGGGGTAAAGGAGGTTTTGTGGGCAAGGGGCTTGGACTTCCAGCAAGCGTGCGTGAGCGTGTTAGATAGGAGTGAATGGAGACGAATGGTACTTTGGACCTGACGATCTGTTGGAGTGTGAGCAGGGTAATATTTAGTGAAGGGATTCAGGGAAACCGGTTATTTTCATATAGTCGGACTTGAGTCCTGGAAATGGGAAGTACAATGCCTGCACTTTAAAGGAGGGGTTTGGGATATTGGCAGTTTGGAGGGATATGTTGTGTATCTTTTATGTGTATGCTTCTAAACTGTTGTATTCTGAGCACCTCTGCAAAAACAGTGATAATGTGCGAGTGTGGTGAAAGTGTTGAATGATGATGAAAGTATTTTCTTTTTGGGGATTTTCTTTCTTTTTTGGGTCACCCTGCCTCGGTGGGAGATGGCCGACTTGTTGAAAAAAAAAAAAAAAAAATCAGTCTTTGCAGAGATGCTCAGATATGATAGTTTTAGATGTCACTCTGAGATAAATATTGTAATTGTAGTATGTATTACAATTAATGGAAGCAGCACTAAATACAGCACCTGAGGAAATTAGGCAATCAGGTTTGACCAAAGGAAGGATAGGTCCTATTCCTGATATCAAGAGCCCCTCACTGTACACCTTTGTATATAACCTTTTTTTCTGTTTTATTGTATCATGTGGTTTCATTTGTGCCACAAATTCATGGATTAAGTTTTTGGCAAGTTGAATTTTCAGAAGTTATTTCTTTTCTCTATTTTTCTTTTCAGTTGCATTGTTGTTTTTATGTTTATTTTATGATTATTATTATTACATTCATGGGGACTGCAAAACCTGCAGGGTTATACGTTATTATTATTATAATCAAAACTAAGTACTAAATCCACAATGGTCATACAGCACCTGGTGTAAAAGGTGGGCAGGTCCAATTCCTTACATCAAAAGCCCTCACCTACATCATGGAATCCACCCTCAAAGCGTTCACTTCATGAATACTGCATGTGGTTAGCTCATATTTGTTTGTTATAAAGGTTGAGTGGTTGAAAAATATAAATCATAAATTAAATTCACGATAAGCTATATTTCAAGATTTATTCATTATAATATATTCATGGAATTTGAATTCATGACCAAAGTCATGTAGTTACCATTTTACATACTACTTTAGGTTATCAGTGGACAAACTCCCCAACATGCATCTGACTGATCATAGGCTTTGGTGATGATTCCAGATTTCAGGCTGGTTAGTTTACAGAAAATGGCTGGCATTTTCCCTCATTATCAGTAAAATGAGAATTTCATAATGACTGAAAGTAACTGAAAATTTTAATGTGCATATGGGATATTAAAGTTACCTTATAAATGCCAGTAATTCATTACTCAAAATTAAGTGAATCAAGGCTGACTTACCCAGTTAATTGGTTCATCAGTGAATCCCTAGGTTACATCACTATTTTTTATATTGGTGGACTATACTACTCCAAGATAAATTAATGTACTTGCATGTAATAAATCATAACTAACTACTGTCTGCTTGTTTCCCTAGCTCACTACGGTTAATTTTCTTCACCAATCTATTATACATATCCACTTACATGTTTGAGAGTATTGGTGCCCTCTCACAAACGTAAGATTTTATTTTTAACACGTTGGCCGTTTCCCACTAAAGCAGGGTGACCCAAAAAGAAAGAAAAACCCCAAAAGAAAAAAATTTCATCATCATTCAACACTTTCACCATCGCTCATAAATAATCAATCTCTTCGCAGAGATGCTCAGATACGACAGTTTATATGTCCCTCCAAACTGCCAATATCCCAAACCCCTCCTTTAAAGTGCAGGCATTGTACTTCCCACTTCTAGTGTTCCTATCCTTGAGACATCATGAACCACATTTTGAACAGTGGTTGGTGGCAGGAGAGGAATAGAAGAGGGTATAGCAGAACAAACAATAACAGAACTTGTTTTTTGACACATAACAGAGGTTGAAATGAGGCACTCTTTTTTTTTTTTGTTATTGTTGTTGCTAGACAGCAAAGGAAATATAAACCTGTAATTGTTTTACATGATGGTAGGATTGCTGGTGTCCTTTTTCCTGTCTCATAAACATGCAAGATTTCAGGTACATCTTGCTACTTCTACTTACACTTAGGTCACACTACACATACATGTACAAGCATAAATATATACATACCCCTCTGGATTTTCTTCTATTTTCTTTCTAGTTCTTGTTCTTGTTTATTTCCTCTTATCTCCATGGGGAAGTGGAACAGAATTCTTCCTCCGTAAGCCATGCGTGTTGTAAGAGGCAACTAAAATGCCGAGAGCAAGGGGCTAGTAACCCCTTCTCCTGTATATATTACTAAATTTAAAAGGAGAAACATTCGTTTTTTCTTTTGGGCCACCCCACCTCAGTGGGATACGGCTGATACGTTGAAAGAAAGAAAATGATTGCTGGTCTTTTCTGCCTCATAAACACGCAGGATAATGGGCATATCTTGCTACTTTTGCTTACACTTAGGTCACAATACATATGCATGCACACTATATTTACACACCCATCTGGGTTTTCTTCTATTTTCTTAATAGTTCTTGTTCTTCTTTATTTCATCTTATTTCTATGGTGAAGTGGAAAAGAGTTCTTCCTCTGTAAGAGGATATTAAAATGGCAAGAACAAGGGGTTAGTAACCCCTTCACCTGCATAAAGTACTAAATTTAAAAAGAAAAACTTTTTCTTTCTAGGTCACCCTGCCTCAGTGGGATACAGCTGGTTCATTGAAAAAAAAAAATAAAAAAGGATGTATGAACCTCTGTACCACAGTACTGGAGGCAGGAGAGCTCTGAGTCTGTATATGACTGCAGAAATGGAAGGTCACATACTAGGTATCCAAAAACAAACAGAGATGCTATAGGATAGGACGATGGATCACATGAGAACACAGGCTGCATGGAAGGTGACCTTCTTGTACAAGATAATGTAAAACTTCTCCATATGACAAAACATTTATTAGTTATGCCATTACCCAGCAAGAGTAGATCTACCATACGGCTGGCTATTAAAGAACAAGGAAACTTGACAATTATCACAAATTACTGAAGATGGGACACCATCAGCATAGCTCTGCTCCTATATCCACAACAGTAAATTACATACTTCTACATACAGCACTTGCATGGGATATAATAATGCAACACATTTCTGAGAATGTAGGTTTTATTTCCAGTCCCCTATACAATGAAGTCTGAGCAAAGGCTCATAAAAAAAATTTTTATATACAGAGAAATGATACAACAGCACCCATGATAAGAAAGAAATTTAATCTAAATGTTTCATATCACTCATTATGTAGTATTTAGTTCTTTCATATCACAATCAGGAATGTTTTCAGTGTTGTTTATGTGGTAGTTTTTATATTTTGTACAAGCTGTACAATTTACAAATAAACTATAAAATGTATGGTAAAAACAAGGTGAAAGGCAATTTAAAAAATTAAAATGCCTTAAAAAGGTATTCCTAAGCAATCTCATTTATTGTCCAAAATTACCATGTTCATAAAATTTGAAATACTGAATAAAATATGCTATTTAAAAGTGCCACATATTTTATACATTGTCAATAAGTTGAAGTATGGCAGATGTATTTGATAAACCACCTCATTAGCTGCAACAATTTGTAAAACTTAGGTGAAACTTTATAACAAATTTTTAAAAATAAATACACATTTACATAAATTATGTGAGCACAATTTTGATCCTTTGTATATATACAAATTTTGCCCAACAGGATACAACATTTTAGGTTGTCTAGGCAGGCTTATGTGTTTTGTTAACCAAGAAAACCCTTCACTTAGATATAAATTAGAATAGCAAGATAAGAAACTGATGAGTTATCTTCTTAACCAAGAATACCCTTCTAATTATGTGTGTTATCTTTTCAAATTATGTGAGTTATCTTTTCAATCAAGAATACAATTATGATCAGACAATTTAGGATAAGACAAACTACATGAGTTACTTTGAAGCAAAATAATAATGGTATATTGGATTCAGATGAGATTGATAAGCAAATAATATTATGGGTACATATTAAATGTTACCATAATACCACAGAGGATGGCTTACATACTATTACAACATTGGAAGAATTTTAGAAAATCATGACTACTTTTTTAAAATATGAATAGTGAGACAAAAGTTAAAAAAAAAAAGACATAAGAGAGAGCTAGCAGAAGTCAACCAAGACAGTTTAAGAAAAAATAAAAGATAAGGAAAGCAATCACAGACATTAACTGCATATCAACCAGACCCATCTACAGTTTTTTTCTTTAACATACTTGTATCTATCAGTTTTTAGTTATTCAAATATGGCAATTTCTATTCAATGAGTCTAATGAACTGAAATCCAATTTCCAGTAAATTATGTATCAGCAACTTCCAAAATATTGATTTATATAGACAAAAGTAATATGTTATTAAACTGTAGTGTGTGTCTAGGACGAACACAGGACACTGACAAGAGTGACACCTATTCAACAGTGACAGACTTTGCCAAGTTTCTTGGGCAATCAACATTACAGCCCCTAAGAACAGCAATGTGGTATGACAGTAGTTGTAAAGGAATGACTGTGAGGAGACCTTGGAGGCAGTCCACAGTTCTGGGAACCTCTAGCGTGTTAGAAGCAAACTTCTGAGGCTCTACGTCGCCCTTATTACAGATGAGGAGCGGCCGTCCTTCTCTTGCAGTTACTTGCTGTAGAGCATTCATGCATTTCTAAGGAAAAAATTCTTAAATTAATAATATTATTATATTAACACATCGGCTGTTTCCCACCAAGACAGGGTGGCCCGAAAAACAAAAACTTTCATCATTCACTCCATCACTGTCTTGTCAGAGGCATGCCTACACTACAGTTATAAAACTGCAACATTAACACCCCTCCTTCAGAGTCCAGACATTGTACTTTCCATCTACAGGCCTCAAGTCTGGCCTGCTGGTTTCCCCTGAATCCCTTCATAAATGTTACCTTGCTTGCATTCCAACAGCATGTCAAGTCCTAAAAGCCATTTGTCTCCATTCACTCCTGTCTAACATGCTCATGCACGCTTGCTGGAAATCCAAGCCCCTTGCACACAAAACCTCTTTTATCCCCTCTCTATAACCTTTCCTAGGCTGACCCCTACCCTGCCTTCCCTCCACTACAGATTTGTATGCTCTCGAAGTCATTCTATTTCATTCCATCCTCTCTACATGCCCAAACTATCTCAATAACCCCTCCTCAGCCCTCTGGATAATAGTTTTGGTAATCCCACACCTCCTCCTAATCTCCAAACTACGGATTCTCTGCATTATATTCACACCACACATTCCCCTCAGACATGACATCTCCACTGCCTCTAGCCTTTTCCTTGTTGCAACATTCACAACCCATGCCTCTCACCCATACAAGAGCATTGGTATAACTATACTCTCATACATTTCCCTCTTTGCTTTCATGGATAAAGTTCTTTGTCTCCACAGACTCCTCAGTGCACCACTCACCTTTTTCCCCTCGTCAATTCTATGATTCACCTCATCCTTCATAGACCCATCTGCTGACACGTCCATTCCCAAATATCTGAACACATTTACCTCCTCCATACTCTCTCCCTCCAATCTGATATCCAATCTTCCCATACCTAATTTTTTGGTTATCTTCATCACCTTACTCTTTCCTATATTCACTTTTAACTTCCTTCTTTTACATACCCTGCCAAACTCATCAACCAACCTCTGCAACTTCTCTTCAGAATCTCTCAAAAGCACAGTTTCATCAACAAAGAGCAACTGTGACAACTCCCACTTTATGTTAGATTCTTTACCTTTTAACACCACACCTCTTGCCAACACCCAAGCATTCACCTCTCTTACTACTCCATCTAAAAATATACTGAATAACCGTGGTGACATCACACATCCTTGTCTAAGGCCTACTTTCACTGGGACATAATCCCCCTCTCGCTCACATGCTCTAACCTGAGCCTCACTATCCTTGTAAAAACTTTTCACCGCTTTCAATAACCTACCTCCTATTCCATACATTTGCAACATCTGCCACATTGCCCCCCTATCCACCCTATTATATGCCTTTCCCAAATCCATTAATGCCACAAAAACCTCTTTACCCCTATCTAAATACTGTTCACCTATGTACGTATTGCACTGCAAACACTTGGTCTATGCCCCCCCTACCTTTCCTAAAGCCTTCTTGTTCATTTGCTATCCTACTCTCCGTCTTATAATTCTATCAATAATAACTCTACCATACACTTTACCAGGTATACTCAACAGACTTTTTTTTTTTTTTTTTTTATTATCACACCGGCCGATTCCCACCAAGGCAGGGTGGCCCGAAAAAGAAAAACTTTCACCATCATTCACTCCATCACTGTCTTGCCAGAAGGGTGCTTTACACTACAGTTTTTAAAACTGCAACATTAACACCCCTCCTTCAGAGTGCAGGCACTGTACTTCCCATCTCCAGAACTCAAGTCCGGCCTGCCGGTTTCCCTGAATCCCTTCATAAATGTTACTTTGCTCACACTCCAACAGCACGTCAAGTATTAAAAACCATTTGTCTCCATTCACTCCTATCAAACACGCTCACGCATGCCTGCTGGAAGTCCAAGCCCCTCGCACACAAAACCTCCTTTAACCCCCTCCCTCCAACCCTTCCTAGGCCGACCCCTACCCCGCCCTTCCTTCCACTACAGACTGATACACTCTTGAAGTCATTCTGTTTCGCTCCATTCTCTCTACATGTCCGAACCACCTCAACAACCCTTCCTCAGCCCTCTGGACAACAGTTTTGGTAATCCCGCACCTCCTCCTAACTTCCAAAACTACGAATTCTCTGCATTATATTCACACCACACATTGCCCTCAGACATGACATCTCCACTGCCTCCAGCCTTCTCCTCGCTGCAACATTCATCACCCCACGCTTCACACCCAATAAGAGCGTTGGTAAAACTATACTCTCATACATTCCCCTCTTTGCCTCCAAGGACAAAGTTCTTTGTCTCCACAGACTCCTAAGTGCACCACTCACTCTTTTTTCCCTCATCAATTCTATGATTCACCTCATCTTTCATAGACCCATCCGCTGACACGTCCACTCCCAAATATCTGAATACGTTCACCTCCTCCATACTCTCTCCCTCCAATCTGATATTCAATCTTTCATCACCTAATCTTTTTGTTATCCTCATAACCTTACTCTTTCTGTATTCACCTTTAATTTTCTTCTTTTGCACACCCTACCAAATTCATCCACCAATCTCTGCAACTTCTCTTCAGAATCTCCCAAGAGCACAGTGTCATCAGCAAAGAGCAGCTGTGACAACTCCCACTTTGTGTGTGATTCTTTATCTTTTAACTCCACGCCTCTTGCCAAGACCCTCGCATTTACTTCTCTTACAACCCCATCTATAAATATATTAAACAACCACGGTGACATCACACATCCTTGTCTAAGGCCTACTTTTACTGGGAAAAAATTTCCCTCTTTCCTACATACTCTAACTTGAGCCTCACTATCCTCGTAAAAAAACTCTTCACTGCTTTCAGTAACCTACCTCCTACACCATACACTTGCAACATCTGCCACATTGCCCCCCTATCCACCCTGTCATACGCCTTTTCCAAATCCATAAATGCCACAAAGACCTCTTTAGCCTTATCTAAATACTGTTCACTATATGTTTCACTGTAAACACCTGGTCCACACACCCCCTACCTTTCCTAAAGCCTCCTTGTTCATCTGCTATCCTATTCCTCTACTCTTAATTCTTTCAATTATAACTCTACCATACACTTTACCAGGTACACTCAACAGACTTATCCCCTATAATTTTTGCACTCTCTTTATCCCCTTTGCCTTTATACAAAGGAACTATGCATGCTCTCTGCCAATCCCTAGGTACCTTACCCTCTTCCATACATTTATTAAATAATTGCACCAACCACTCCAAAACTATATCCCCACCTGCTTTTAACATTTCTATCTTTATCCCATCAATCCCGGCTGCCTTACCCCTTTCATTTTACCTACTGCCTCACGAACTTCCCCACACTCACAACTGGCTCTTCCTCACTCCTACAAGATGTTATTCCTCCTTGCCCTATACACGAAATCACAGCTTCCCTATCTTCATCGACATTTAACAATTCTCAAAATATTCCTTCCATCTTCCCAATACCTCTAACTCTCCATTTAATAACTCTCCCTCCTATTTTTAACTGACAAATCAATTTGTTCTCTAGGCTTTCTTAACTTGTTAATCTCACTCCAAAACTTTTTCTTATTTTCAACAAAATTTTGTTGATAAACAATCTCACCCACTCTCTCATTTGCTCTCTTTTTACATTGCTTCACCACTCTCTTTAACCTCTCTCTTTTTCTCCATATACTCTTCCCTCCTTGCATCACTTCTACTTTGTAAAAACTTCTCATATGCTAACTTTTTCTCCCTTACTACTCTCTTTACATCATCATTCCACAATCGCTCCTCTTCCCTCCTGCACCAACTTTCCTGTAACCACAAACTTCTGCTGAACACTCTAACACTACATTTTTAAACCTACCCCTACCTCTTCGACCCCATTGCCTATGCTCTCATTAGCCCATCTATCCTCCAATAGCTGTTTAATCTTACCCTAACTGCCTCCTCTTTTAGTTTATAAACCTTCACCTCTCTCTTCCCTGATGCTTCTATTCTCCTTGTATCCCATCTACCTTTACTCTCAGTGTAGCTACAACTAGAAAGTGATCTGATATATCTGTGGCCCCTCTATAAACATGTACATCCTGAAGTCTACTCAACAGTCTTTTATCTACCAATACATAATCCAACAAACTACTGTCATTTCGCCCTACATCATATCGTGTATACTTATTTATCCTCTTTTCTTAAAATATGTATTACCTATAACTAAACCCCTTTCTATACAAAGTTCAATCAAAGGGCTCCCATTATCATTTAAAACCTGGCACCCCAAACTTACCTACCACACCCTCTCTAAAAGTTTCTCCTACTTTAGCATTCAAGTCCCCTACCACAATTACTCTCTCACTTGGTTCAAAGGCTCCTATACATTCACTTAACATCTCCCAAAATCTCTCTCTCCTCCTCTGCATTCCTCTCTTCTCCAGGTGCATACACGCTTATTATGACCCACTTCTCGCATCCAACCTTTACTTTAATCCACATAATTCTTGAATTTACACATTCATATTCTCTTTTCTCCTTCCATAACTGATCATTTAACATTACTGCTACCCCTTCCTTTGCTCTAACTCTCTCAGATACTCCAGATTTAATCCCATTTATTTCCCCCCACTGAAACTCTCCTACCCCCTTCAGCTTTGTTTCGCTTAGGGGCCAGGACATCCAACTTCTTTTCATTCATAACATCAGCAATCATCTGTTTCATTGTCATCCGCACTACATCCACGCACATTTAAGCAACCCAGTTTTATAAAGTTTTCTTCTTCTCTTTTTTAGTAATTGTATACAGGAGAAGGGGTTACTAGCCCATTGCTCCCGGCATTTTAGTCGCCTCATACGACACGCATGGCTTACGGAGGAAAGATTCTTTTCCACTTCCCATGGACAATAGAAGAAATAAAAAAGAACAAGAGCTATTTAGAAAAAGGAGAAAAACCTAGATGTATGTATATATATATATGCATGTGCGTGTCTGTGAAGTGTGACCAAAGTGTAAGTAGGAGTAGCAAGATATCCCTGTTATCTTAGCGTGTTTATGAGACAGAAAAAGAAACCAGCAATCCTACCATCATGCAAAACAGTTACAGGTTTTTGTTTCACAGTCATCTGGCAGGACGGTAGTACTTCCCTGGGTGGTTGCTGTCTACCAACCTACTATAACCCCTATAATTTTTACACTCTTTTGTCCCTTTTGCCTTTATACAAAGGAACTATGCATGCTCTCTGCCAATCCCTAGGTACCTTACCCTCTTCCATACATTTATTAAATAAAAACACTAACCACTCCAAAACTATATCTCCACCTGCTTTTAACATTTCTATCTTTATCCCAGTAATACCAGCTGTTTTGCCCCCTTTCATTCTGCTCACTGCCCCATGCACTTCCCCCATACTCACAACTGGTTCTTCCTCACTACTATAAGATGTTATTCCTCAACAAACAATTATGTACCATGTATATACGTATCCAATTCTAATATTCTATTAAGAAATTAAAACAGTTTAAAATTGTAGAATCTTGCAAGAAGCTTGTAACAAATACCAAAACAAAAATAAAATGCCCAAAGATAGAAGTAAAGTTTATTGGAAAAATATAACATTAAAATCACATGATCAGTTCTGCAAGCTTGATTACAGTATATACAGATAGAAAAACAATGAATTCAATATGTGGTTTCCTTAAACTTACCAAAAAGACATTGTCTCGTGTGCAGATCATAACAATAGGCATGCCTTTGTCAACAAGAGCAAGGGGTCCATGCTTCAGCTCACCAGCCATGATTCCTTCACTATGCATGTATGTGATTTCCTTGATTTTCTGTAAAGTATTTTAAAGAATGAGTGCTCTATACACACCATGACTGCTTGTAAGAAACTTTTGAATTTGTACATCTGAGAACAGAAAACCATATGGCTTATCTAGGTCCCCATAACCAAGCATTTGACCATTCCTTAAAATTATTTAACAAGAAGGTGATATTGAAATATTTTAAACAATGCTTTTTGATAATACAGTATGCTATCTAGAATTTATGCACATTAATTGTGTTATGATTAGTCAAAACAATTCAGCATTAATGGTCATATTTCAGCATATTCTTTTTTATTTGCTGTACTACCACGAGTTATACTAACAGTTATTATTCCTGCATGCCAATTAAATGTAACTGGCTTCCTTAAACATGTACACCATTTCAAAATATCAGTTTATCAATGGTGTTTGAATGATCTGACCCTCCTGTTTTAATACCAAATACTACAAGATTATTATTACATGTATACTGGATAACTTGCTCCTTGTTCCTCTTCTGATCACAATTATACATTTTTCTACTTCCTACATAATTCTAAACACAATGCAAAATGAATCTTCATGGAAAAAGTTAGTCATTTTGGTGGTTTATTCAGTTTTTTTCCAAATTACATAATATACAGTATAGTGTTATAATATACGATTCAGATTAGGACAGTATTTATTTGCAAAACTTTACCATCGACATAGGTAAGGGGAAAAACATGTAGGAACACTGCACACTGTAATATTTTACAATGTGTCTTGATACTCAAAATGTAAACCAACTATAAAATCCTTTTATACAAACATGCAAAATAAATAAATAAATAAATAATATTATATACATCTATGTATATATATATTTTTTAACAAGTTGGCCGTCTCCCACCGAGGCAGAGTGACCCAAAAAGAAAGAAAATCCCCAAAAAGAAAATATTTTCATCATCATTCAACACTTTCACCTCACTCATACATAATCAGTTTTTGCAGAGGTGCCCAGAACACAAGAGTTTAGAAGCATATACATATAAAGGTACACAACATATCCCTCCAAACTGCCAATATCCCAAACCCCTCCTTTAAAGTGCAGGCATTGTACTTCCCATTTCCAGTACTCAAGTCCAGATATATAAAAATAACCAGTTTCCCTGAATCCATTCACTAAATATTACCCTGCTCACACTCCAACAGCTCATCAGGTCTCAAATACCATTTGTCTCCATTCACTCCTAACACGTTCATGCATGCTTGCTGGAAGTTCAAGCCCCTCGCCCACAAAACCTCCTTTACCCCCTCCCTCCAACCTTATCGAGGATGACCCCTACCCCGCCTTCCTTCCCCTACAGATTTATACGCTCTCCATGTCATTCTACTTTGATCCATTCTCTCTAAATGACCAAACCACCTCAACAACCCCTTTTCAGCCCTATGACTAATACTTTTAGTAACTCCACAACTCTTCCTAATTTCCACACTCCTAATTATCTGCATAATATTTACACCACACATTGCCCTTTGACAAGACATCACGACATTTCCTTCTTTGCCACCTTGGATAACTGTTTTTTGTCTCCACAGATACCTCAATGCACCATTCACCTTTTTTTCTTCATCATTTCAATGGTTAACTTCATCCTTCATAAACCCATCTGCTGACAAGTCATCTCCCAAATATCTGAAAACATTCACTTCTTCCATACTCCCTCTCTCCAATGCGATATCCAATTTTTCTTTATCTAAATCGTTTGACCCCCCTCATCACCTCACTCTTATCCACGTTCACTTTCAACTTTCTACATTTACAAATCCTCTGAAACTCATCCACTAACCTTTGCAACTTTTCCTTAGAATCTCCCCAAAGCACAGTATCATCAGCAAAAAGTAACTGTGTCAACTCCCATTTTGTATTTGATTTCCCGTAATTTAATCCCACCCCTCTCCCCAACACCCCAGCATTTACTTCTTTTACAACCCCATCTAAACATATATTAAACAAACAACAATGGTGACATTATACATCCCTGTCTAAGATCTACTTTTACTGGGAAGTACAGTAATCTCCCTCTCTCCTGCACACCCTAACCTTAGCCTCACTATCCTCATAAAAACTCCTTACAGCATTTAGTAGCTTACTACCTATTCCATACACTTGCAACATCTGCCACATAGTTTCCCTATCCACTCTATCATATGCCTTTTCCAAATCCATAAATGCAATGAAAACTTCCCTACCTTTATCTAAATACTGTTCGCTTGATCTACATATCCCCCACCCACTCTAAAGCCTCCTTGCTCATCTGCAGTCCTACTCTTTGTCTTACCTCTAATTCTTTAAATAATCAACCTACCATACATTTTACCTGGTATACTCAGTAAACTTATTACCATATAATTTTTACAATCTCTTTTGTCCCCCTTCCCTTTATATAAAGGAACTATGCATGCTCTCTGCCAATCCCTAGGTACCTTCCCCTCTTTCATATACTTATTAAACAAAAACACCAACCACTCCAACACAATATCCCCCCTGCTTTTAGCATTTCTGTCATGATCCTGTCAGTTCCAGCTGCTTTACCCCCTTTTATTCTATGTAATGCCTCACGCACCTCCCCCACACTCACATCCTGCTCTTCTTCACTCCTAAAAGATGTTATACCTCCCTGACCAGTGCATGAAATTACCGCCTCCCTCCTCAAAATATTCCCGCCATCTACCCAATACCTCCAGCTCCCCATCTACTAACTCTCCTACTCTGTTTTTAACTGACAAATCCATTTGTTCTCTAGGCTTTCTTAACTTGTTTAACTCATTCCAAAATTTTTTTCTTATTTTCAGCAAAATTTTTTGACAATGCCTCTCCCACTCTATCATTTGGTCTCCTTTTGCACTCTCTTCACCTTTATTTTACTCTCCATATACTCTGCCCTTCTTATATCACTTCTGCTTTGTAAAAGTATCTCATAAGCTACCTTTTTCTCTTTTATCACACCCTTTACTTCATCATTCCACCAATCACTCCTCTTTCCTCCTGCACCCACCCTCCTATAACCACAAACTTCTGCCCCACATTCTAATACTGCAATTTTAAAACTATCCCATCCCTCTTCAACCCTGCCACTACCCATACTTGCACTAGCCAACAGTTGCTTATATCTCACCCTAACTTCCTCCTCCCTTAGTTTATACACTTTCACCTCTCTCTTACTTGCTGTTGCCATATTCCTTTTGTCCCGTTTACCTCTTACTCTAACTGTAGCTACAACTAAATAATGATCCGATATATCCATATAGTATATTTTTTTTTTTTTTTTTTTTTTTTTTTTTTTCAACAAGTCGGCCGTCTCCCACCGAGGCAGGGTGACCCAAAAAAGAAAGAAAATCCCCAAAAAGAAAAAATACTTTCATCATCATTCAACACTTTCACCACACTCGCACATTATCACTGTTTTTGCAGAGGTGCTCAAAAATACAACAGTCCTAGAAGCATAAACATATAAGATACACAACATATCCCTCCAAACTGCCAATATCCCAAACCCCTCCTTTAAAGTGCAGGCATTGTACTTCCCATTTCCAGGACTCAAGTCCGACTAAATAAAAATAACCGGTTTCCCTGAATCCCTTCACTAAATATTACCCTGCTCACACTCCAACAGATCGTCAGGTCCCAAGTACCATTCGTCTCCATTCACTCCTATCTAACACGCTCACGCACGCTTGCTGGAAGTCCAAGCCCCTTACCCACAAAACCTCCTTTACCCCCTCTCTCCAACCCTTTCGAGGACGACCCCTACCCCGCCTTCCTTCCCCTATAGATTTTATTGCTTTCCATGTCATTCTACTGTGATCCATTCTCTCTAAATGACCAAACCACCTCACAACCCCTCTTCTGCCCTCTGACTAATACTTTATTAACTCCAAAACCTTCTCCTAATTTCCACACTCCGAATTTTCTGCATAATATTTACACCACACATTGCCCTTAAACAGGACATCTCCGCTGCCTCCAACCGTCTCCTCGCTGCTGCATTTACCACCCAAGCTTCACACCCATATAAGAGTGTTTGGTACTACTATACTTTCATACATTCCCTTCTTTGCCTCCATAGATAACGTTTTTTTGACTCCACATATACCTCAACGCACCACTCACCTTTTTTTCCCCCATCAATTCTATGATTAACCCCATCCTTCATAAATCCATCCGCCGACACGTCAACTCCCAATTTTCTGAAAACATTCACTTCTTCCATACTCCTCCTCCCCAATTTGATATCCAATTTTTCTTTATCTAAATCATTTTTACACCCTCATCACCTTACTCTTTTCTATGTTCACTTTCAACTTTCTACCTTTACACACATTCCCAAAACTCATCCACTAACCTTTGCAATTTTTCTTTAGAATCTCCCATAAAACACAGTATCATCAGCAAAAAGTAACTGTGTCAATTCCCATTTTGAATTTGATTCCCCATAATTTAATCCCACCCTCTCCCAAACACCCTAAACATTTACTTCCTTTAACAACCCCATCTATAAATATATTAAACAACCATGGGGACATTACACATCCCTGTCTAAGAACCTATTTTTCCGGGAAGTAGTCCCCCCTCTCTTCTACACACCCTAACCTGAGCCCCACTATCCTCATAAAAACTCTTTACAGCATTTAAATAACTTACCACCTATTCCATATACTTGCAACATCTGTCACATTGCCCTCTATCCACTCTATCATATGCCTTTTCTAAATCCATAAATGCAATAAAAACTTCCCTATCTTTATCTAAATACTGTTCACATAATGCTTCAATGTAAACCCTGATCTACACATCCCAAACCCACTCTAAAACCTCCTTGCTCATCCGCAATCCTACAATTTTGTCTTACCTCTAATTCTTTCAATTATAACCCTACCGTACACTTTTCCTGGTTACTCAGTAAGCTTATTCCTCTATAATTTTTACAGTCTCTTTTGTCCCCTTTCCCTTTATATAAAGGGACTATACATGCTCTCTGCCAATCCCTAGGTACCTTCCCCTCTTTCATACATTTTTTAAAAAAAAGTACCAACCACTCCAACACTATAAAATTCCCCCCCTGCTTTTAACATTTCTGTCATATCCCATCAGTTCCAGCTGCTTTACCCCCTTTCATTTACGTAATGCCTCACGTACCTCCCCCACCCCTTACATTCTGCTCTTCTTCACTCCTAAAAGAATGGTATACCTCCCTGACCAGTGCATGAAATACTGCCTCCCTTTCTTCCTTAACATTTAAAAGTTCCTCAAAATATTCTCGCCATCTACCCAATACCTCCATCTCCCCATCTACTAACTCCCCTACTCTGTTTTTAACTGACAAATCCATATTTTCCCTAGGCTTCTTAACTTGTTTAACTCACTCCAAAATTTTTTTTTATTTTCATTAAAATTTTCTTGACAGTGCCTCTCCCCCTCTATCATCTGCTCTCCTTTTGCACTCTCTCCACCACTTCCCTTTACCTTTCTTTTACTCTCCATATACTCTGCTCTTCTTATAACACTTCTGCTTTGTAAAAACCTCTCATAAGCTACCTTTTTCTCTTTTTATCACACCCTTTACTTCATCATTCCACCAATCACTCCTCTTTCCTCCTGCCCCCCACCCTCCTATAACCACAAACTTCTGCCCCACATTTTTAATACTGCATTTTTAAAACTATTCCAACCCTCTTTCAACCCCCCCCCTACTCATCTTTGCACTAGCCCACCTTTCTGCCAATAGTCGCTTATATCTCACCCGAACTTCCTCCTCCCTTAGTTTATACACTTTCCCCTTCCCTCTTACTTGTTGTTGCCACCTTCCTCTTTTCCCATCTCCTCTTACTCTAACTGTAGCTACAACTAAATAATGAATCCGATATAAACAGTTGCCCCTCTATAAACATGTACATCCTGGAGCCTACCCATCAACCTTTTATCCACCAATACATAATCTAATAAACTACTTTCATTACGTGCTACATCATACCTTGTATATTTATTTATCCTCTTTTTCATAAAATATATATATAGTATATATATATATATATATATATGTACAGTGGAAAACTGGTTTTCATTCGGTCTGGTTATTGTACAATTCAGTTTTTGACAACTATTTTCAGCGAAATTTTCCCTGTTTTCGTACATCCACTCAGAAATCATCCATACAAGACACGTCCGCCTGCCTGCAGGACACGGCTGCTCATATGTTCGTGACTCAGTCTGCCTTTGTGACTCGTAGAGGGTGGTAGTGATGGTGGTAGAGGGTGGTAATGATGGTGGTAGAGGGTGGTAGTGATGGTGGTAGAGAGTGGTAGTGATAGTGGTAGAGGGTGGTAGTGATGGTGTTAGAGGGTGGTAGCGATGGTGGTAGAGGGTGGTAGCAATGGTGGTAGAGGTTGGTAGTGATGGTGGTAGAGGCTGGTAGTGATGGTGGTAGAGGTTGGTTGATGGGTGGTAGAGGCTGGTAGTTGATGGTGGTAGAGGTTTTGGTAGTGATGGTGGTAAGGGTGAAGTGGTTGTGATGGTGGTAGTGATGGTGGTAGAGGTTGGTATTGATGGTGGTAGTGATTGTGATGGTGGTAGAGAGTGGTAGTGGTTGTGATGGTGGCAGAGGGTGGTAGTGGGTGGTAGTGATTGTGATGGTGGTAGTGACTGTGGTAGAAATAACCTCTCCTCCCTCTCCCCTCCTCGCCATCTTCCATATGCTAACAAAAGTCTTCAATAAAGGTGCTTTATATTTAATTCTCATTGTTTTCTGTATGTAAAACTATAGTTATTCTCTATAAAATGTATTTTTTGCTAATATTTTTGGGTGTCTGGAACATATTAATTAGATTTACATTATTTCTTATGGGAAATATTACTTCAGTTTTCGTACAAATCGGTTTTTGACCAACCTTCTAGAATGGATTTAAGAGGAAAACCGGGGTTCCACTGTATATATATATATATATATATTCGCCATGGAGAAGTGGAATAGAATTCTTCCTCCATAAGCCATAGGTGTCATAAGAGGCGACTAAAATACCGGGAGCAAGGGGCTAGTAACCCCTCCTCCTGTATAAATTATTAAATTTAAAAAGAGAAACTTTCGTTTTTCTTTTTAGGTGGGATGTGGCCAGTTTGAAAAAGAAATATATATATATATATATATATTTTATATATATATATAATTAATATATTATATTATATATACATATATTTTTTTTTTTATTTTCCTCATTAGCCATCACCCCAAAAGGCAGGGTGACCCAAAAAAAGAAAGAAAATCCCCAAAAAGAAAATACTTTCATCATCATTCAACACTTTCACCACACTCACACATTATCACTGCTTTTGCAGAGGTGCTCAGAATATAACAGTTTAGAAGCATATACGTATAGAGATACACAACATATCCCTCCAAACTGCCAATATCCCAAAACCCCTCCTTTAAAGTGCAGGCATTGTACTTCCCATTTCCAGGACTCATTCATTTAATAGCTGTCTTGCTAGAAATGTGTTGACATAATTCAGATTACCCTTTGAGTGAAACATCCCCACCCCTCCTGCAAAGTGCAGGCAATGCCCTTCCCACCTCCAGGACTCAAGTCCTGAATCCTTTCATAAAAATTGCTTTTGTCATACTCCAAAAGAATGTCTATAAAAAAAAAAACACTTGTCTTCATTCACTAACACATTCACATAAGCCTGCTGGATCCTTGAATCCCTAAAACTTAAAAGCTTCTTTTATCCCCTCCTTCCAACCATTACTGGGATGACCTCTACATCTCCTACCTTGCACCTCAGACTTATACACCCTCTGCAACATCCTATCCCTCTCTATCCTCTCTAGATGCCCAAACCACCTCAGCAACACCTTTTCAGATCTCTGACGTGCATCCTTGGCCACCCCACACTGTATTCTGATTCCTACACTCTGAACTCTCTTGCATAATATTCACACTGCATATTATCTCAAACATGATGCCTGTAATACACTATACCTTTGTCCCACAGCTGTACCACAAGTGCCATGACAACCACTAGTGTGAGATTCATCTGTAAAAACTTCTATTTGTGGTCAGTGGGGCCCATGCTAACTTTCCTTATGTGTATAGAAATACACCTAGTTGGAAGACTCTTATTAGGCCAGCATGGTATGCACTGGCCTGCTTGTTTTAGGACTGGCTTGTCATGGGTTCAAACCTCCCCTTAGTTCTGTGCGAAAAAAATATTGCACATTTATATAAAAGGGTCTCTGGTTAGCCGACATTTTGAATCTTTGCCGGGTCGCCATCTGGAGAAGATCCGGGCCAGAAGTACCAGCGAACCTACATCATCATTACATTTTGAGTATTGAGGTACACATTACTAAAATTACAAAATGCTTGATCCTTAATCAGATTTCCTTAACCATATTAACCCTTTCAGGGTCCGTCCCGTAGATCTACGGCTTTACGGTGAGTGTCCAAACCGTAGATCTACGCCATGAGCTCAGCTCACTCTGATAAACTGTGAGTGGTACATTTGGGCCTAGATATGAGAGAATACATCTATGTGGTATGTGTGCACCACATAAAACAGATCCTGCAGCACACTGTGTATAATGAGAGAAAAAAACTGAAATCATGATTTTTCGATTAAAACAGCGACTTTGCAGTGTTTTTTTTCGTATGTTTTTATAGTTGTATTTGCGATTTCTTGGTCTCATTTGATAAAAATGGAAGACATATTACAGAAATAGAGATGATTTTGATTGGTTTTAGCACTGGAAATGGCTTGAAATTGAGCTCAAAGTAGCGGAAATGTTAAATTTTTTGCCGATATTCAAGAGTAAACAAACGACCTCACACATCTAATACACGTCAGCTGGTGGGTCTAATATACATTCACAAATATGGTGATGATATTTATACAATTATTACAGTATTGCATAACAGTAAATCTTCTATTTTTTGGTGTGAATAAAAATTCATTATGTGAATAAAAAATCAAAATGGAATTTATTGTAAAGCCTCAAATGTAACTAATGAACAGAGGAAATGTTAGTTTAGTTCCAGGAATACCTACATTGTTTATTCTGGAGCCTATTTTGAAATTGGAATATTTTGAACTTTGTGTTAAATTGGCCAAATTAACAATTTCCGATCACTTTATTTTGTAGTTGAAACAGTTGACTTGGCGATTTCTTGTGCTCAATCGATAGAATAGAAGTAATACTAGTGAAATAGCTAAGAATTTGGTTGATTGGAATAATGTAATTGGCCTAAAATGGGAGTCAAAGTCGGCAAAATTGCCGATTCGTAAATATCACTGACACATCAAAATTCGCGAGAGCATAATTTCGTCAATTTTCCACCAAATTTCGTACTTTTTGTTTTATTACCTTCACAAAAAGATTCTCTACGATTTCATAAGAAAAAAATAACAATTTTTTTTTTGAAAATTCTTGGACACTGGGGCACCACTTCAGATTTGGGCCTTGGACCCTGAAAGGGTTAATGATCTATATCTTGGATAATTATAATTATCATTATTATTATTAATGTAGTATAATTAGGGGAAGTGATACACCCATAGGGATTATACAGCACCACAGGAATAGGAGGCAATCCTGTTCAATCTAAGGAAGGGATGGACAAATTTGATTCTTAAGATCAGGAGTCTCTCACCAGCATCAAGGATATGTGGGAAAACCCTGACATCTAGCATCTGTGTGACCCCATGTTTGCCACAATGAGATGTTAAACTTTACTCATAAAATGTTAATTGTTTCTATCACCACACTTTCATCAATTTTGCAGAATATAGAGAGACAGTCTCAAAGATGACAGTACTCACCAGTGCGCCTTCGAGGCAAGTAGCATAGTTGTAGCCACGACCAAGCACTAGCAACGATTTTTTCTCAAATACCTCCTTGCTAATCTCTTGGATCTTGGAATCCAAAGTCAGTACCTGCCACAAGACAAACAGCATTAAAACACAGTATATTTCAGTAAAACAAGTTTTCACAATTTCATGTAAATTTTTTTTTTAAATCATATGATGATGAAAAGCATGCTCACAAATTTAAAAAATTATGATACTGTACAGTAGAGCCTTGAATTTATTATTACACAAGGAATTATTACACTGAATAATCTACTGCTCTAAAAGAAATAAAAAAAAAATAGGAGCTTTCAAGCAAGATGCATGGATATAAAAAGCTGAAGTAAAGAGGTAAGAAAGAAGGGTAAAAAGTAAAAGAATATATGTAAGGAAAAGATACAGGAATTCATACAAGACAAAAATGTACCAGAAGAGATTTCCATACTGATTATTATTATTATTATATTCAAGGAGAAGTGGTAAACCCATCAGAGTCATAAAGCACCTGGGGGAATGGGAGGCAATTAAGTTTGTCATGGAAGGAAAAAAAGCTCCAATTACTTTACTCAACAGCCTGTTACTACCATCAAGAAACTTTATGCCCATCCTTGAAGAGCAAAAGATACTGAAATGAACATGTGTAAAAGATGCTTGAATTAGATCTCCAGTTGTAGGAAGAAGGATTAGAATGTATGTACAGCATATAAACTTAAAAAGAATAATTTGATAAAACATGTACAGCATAAAAGACAAAACAGATAATACAGAAATTTAATTGCTGCATGTATGATAAAGTAATCATGGATCTCTTAAAATCAAACTAATTTTATATAACTGAAAAGATACTCTATGCTCTCATTCACCTCTTTAATCTGTTCTGGCAGTTTGCGAAGACCCTGGATAATCTCTGATCGGCGAGGCTGGGCAGAGATGCGGTCTTCGGAAATCATTAGGGCAAACATAACTAGAGAGATCATTTGGCTAGTGTATGCCTTTGTTGAAGCAACACCAATTTCTGGACCTGCATTAATGTGGACACCACAGTGAGACTCCCGGCAGATAGAAGAACCAACAGTGTTTGTGATCCCTACAATAAGGGCTCCACGTTGCTTACAATACCTAGAAAAAAATTAATAGTAACAATAAAGAATAAAACTCTGGAGGTGGGAAGTACAGTGCCTGCATTCTGAATCACTGATGGGAATGCTGCAATTCAGAGGTCATTTGAACTGCAATATCCATGTACTTTTGGCAAAACAACTACTGAATGAATGATGGTAAATATTTCCTTTTTTGGGTTATCCTACCTTGGGAGAAAATGGCTGATATGCTAAAAAAAAAACTCAAACTAGCCTGGCAAAACCTTGCAGTATATTGATCAACTGGCAGTGAATCCAATGTTAAAACTTTTGACAACTCTCAGGTAACCAAAGTAAGAACTTTTAGAGAAATACAAACTAATGCTATATTAACATTTTTGCTAATGGATAAAGTAAAAAATATACAATACTATATCTATAGAGTTCTATATATACTTCTGACAAGGTTATTTATATGGTACAGTATATCTAGTTTTTTTTTTTCAACAAACTGGCCATATCCCACCAAGGCAGGGTGGCCCAAAAAGAAAGTTTCTCTTTTTAAATTTAGTAATTTATACAGGAGAAGGGGTTACTAGCCCCTTGCTCCCGGCATTTTAGTTGCCTCTTACAACACGCATGACTTACGGAGGAAGAATTCTGTTCCACTTCCCCATGGAGATAAGAGGAAATAAATAAGAACAAGAACTAGAAAGAAAATAGAAGAAGACCCAATCCCTAGGGACCTTCCCCTCTTTCATACATTTATTAAACAAAAGTACCAACCACTCCAACACTATATCCCCCCTGCTTTTAACATTTCTGTCATGATCCCATAAGTTCCAGCTGCTTTACCCCCTTTCATTCTACGTAATGCCTCACGTACCTCCACCACACTTACATTCTGCTCTTCTTCACTCCTAAAAGATGGTATACCTCCCTGGCCAGTGCATGAAATTACCGCCTCCCTTTCTTCCTCAACATTTAAAAGTTCCTCAAAATATTCTCGCCATCTACCTAATACCTCCCTCTTCCCATCTACTAACTCCCCTACTCTGTTTTTAACTGACAAATCCATACTTTCCCTAGGCTTTCTTAACTTGTTTAACTCACTCCAAAATTTTTTCTTATTTTCATTAAAATTTCTTGACAGTGCCTCTCCCACTCTATCATCGCTCTCCTTTTGCACTCTCCCCACCACTCTCTTCACCTTTCTTTTACTCTCCATATACTCTGCTCTTCTTATAACACTTCTGCTTTGTAAAAACCTCTCATAAGCTCCTTTTTCTCTTTTTTTATCACACCCTTTACTTCATAATTCCACCAATCACTCCTCTTTCCTCCTGCCCCCCACCCTCCTAAAACCACAAGCTTCTGCCCCACATTCTAATACTGGCATTTTTAAAACTATTCCAACCCTCTTCAACCCCCCCCACTACTCATCTTTGCACTAGCCCACCTTTCCCTGCCAATAGTCGCTTATATCTCACCCGAACTTCCTCCTCCCTTATTTATACATTTTCACCTTTCCCTCTTACTTGTTGTTGCCACCTTCTCTTTTCCCATCTACCTCTTACTCTAACTGTAGCTACAACAAATAATGATCCGTATATCAGTTTGCCCCTCTATAAACATTACATCCGGGGACCAAACCCATCAACCTTTTATCCACCAACATAATCTAACAAACTACTTTCATTACTGCTACATCATACCTTGTATATTTATTTATCCTCTTTTTCATAAAAATATGTATTATTTTATTCCCAAATTTCTTTCTACACATAGCTCAATTAAAGGCTCCCCATTTAACTTTTACCCCTGGCCCCCCAAATTTACCTACTACTGCCTCCATAACATTTTTAAACCCATTTTAGCATTGAAATCCCCAACCACCATTACTCTCACACTTGATTCAAAACTCCCCACGCATTCACTCAACATTTCCCAAAATCTCTCTCTCTCCTCTACACTTCTCTCTTCTCCAGGTGCATACACGCTTACTATAACCCACTTTTCACATCCAATCTTTATTTTACTCCACATAATCCTTGAATTAATACATCTGTAGTCCCTCTTTTCCTGCTATAGCTTATCCTAAATATAACACTAAAAAAAATCTAGAAAAATTAAAAGGGATAATATTGTACAGAAAAATAACAGAAAGGGCAATAGCAAACATAATTTATATGTAGTTCAATGTTTTTTAAGATTTCTTTTAAGTTTGCTTAATACTGTAAAGTTTGGATATACAAAGCACTTAATACATCTGTGCAAAAGTGGCCTTCATTCACAATAAAAACAATACTGTACCTAAGAGCTAACAGAGTATCTGCAGTTTCTCCAGACTGAGAAACAAAAAAGCAAACATCATCTCTGAAGATAGGGGTGTTACGGTCCAAGAAATCTGAAGCCAAGTCCACCATGACAGGAAGCTCAGTTAGCTCTTCTAGTAATTGACGAGTAGCAATGGTGGAGTGGTAAGATGTTCCGCAAGCAATCAGCAAAAGTCGGCGGCAGCGGCGAATTTCACTCAAGTGTTCCTAGTGAAACAAAGATACAGTGCTTGTCATTAAAGTATGCTGGCACCCCTCTAAAACCACAATTATGATCTTTAGGATATCAATCAACAGTGTAGAAAGCGATTAACACATTCATCAAGGTTTTATGGGGTAAATTCTCCATGATTTATGGATGGAATCCTAAAGCCATGGGAGTGGGCTGATACTCTTCCCCCAGTAGATCTCTCTCTGTTGTAGCCCAAAGATCCTCAACGTGGCTCAAGTCTTGGGGAATATCCTGGCGAATCACTTAAGGAGGGTACCTCACAGGCAAGAAGCAGCTGAAGCACAGATTTTGCAGTTTGGCAAAGAGAGGTCTTGCATAAAAAAAAACTTGCACCATACTGCATGAAAGATTTGGGAAAATGATAACAAAGCAATTCTATATTATTACAACTAACCTTAGTGGGGACATTTTTTGATGCTTCCTTAGATGTGCTTTTGGTGTGGGCATGTCATTAACAGTGCCCTTAAGGAACTGACAACCATGTCCTCACTGGATGCTTACACACATATTGGTGGTTTCTATTTCCTTTGTTTGATGGCTTGCCTTATGTAATCCAATGATCTTTGCAATTGTCTTGTGTCAGCTACTTACTCCTGCCCATATTAATTCATCAATAGCCAGGACCACAAGGTGCAAGGGTACCACAGACATGAAACTGTCCATGACTCTACGTTAGAAGGCTAAGAGATGCAGGCAATAGCCTTAGGAGATCCTAAGACATTCCACTTTGAGTTGCAAGGCCAGCATAATTTTTTGTCTCATTAACAAATCTACCAGAGTGGGGTATTAGTCTAGACATTGAATTATGTTGAGTGCCTTCCACACAGTGTACTTTAATAATGAGCACTGTACATGGCAGTATAGAAATAAATACCTGAAAAACCTTCAAGTATAAAACAAATTTTTAAGTAAATTAACAAATAATTATAGTGTAGTACATGGAGCTGTAAATGTACAAAGGAAATACTGATTTAAAATTTATGCAAATGAGCTTTATATAATGTAAACCTTTTACATGTGTAGAACTGCTTTATATTTTTTTAAGTTTGTTACAAAAGTAAAATTAAGGGTCTAGAAGCATACCTTAATGCCACCTAACACCACTGTCTCACTATCAAAGTTGATACGGCCTCTCATGGTATTGACCACAGATTCAGGCTGTTCGAAGATTTCCTTTTGCATGAATGATGAGAAGTTGCCCTTCATGATCTGTTGGATTTCCATCTTGAGGGTTGTAATCTCACGGGCATGAGAGTCTTCCAGACAGCGTTTGAGGCGGTGTATCTTCAGAATACCTTCAGAATCAACGCTAGCAACATCATCATCCTATAACATGAGTACGTACTTAATAAACAGTTCCCCTTCATTTACAAGAATTGCATCACTTTGGTACTAAATCTACAAATTGTAAACATGTTCACATAAGCTTGCTAGATGCACAAGCCCCTAAAACTCAAAAGCCTTTTTTATCCCTCCCTCCTCCAACTGTTCCTGGGATGACTGCTACCCCTTCTACCTTCCACCCCAGATTTATATACCTTCTTTGTCAATGTATCCCTCTCCATCCTATTTACATTCCCAAACCACCTAACAACCCCTCCTCAGCCTTCTGAATTATACTTTTGGTGACCTCACTGCAAATTCTCTGCACGATATCACACCACACATTTAATAATAATAATAATGATAATAATAATTTGTCTTAAACATGACATTTTCATCAGCCTCCTTTAACATATGATGCATAATAAATAATTTTTTTTTTAACCCGTAAACGGTCCAAGCAGATCTACGTTCATATGCGTAGTGCTCCAAAAGTAGATCTACGTTTTTTTTTACATATTTTCAAATATAACAACAAAAAAAAAAAAAACATAGATCAAAGTTTTTTACACGTTTTCAAGTGTAAAAAAAGAAAAAGAAGATCTACTTTTTTTACATACTTTCAAATGTTGAAAAAGCGTATATATACGTTTGGACTGTTTACAGGTTAACAAGTCGGCCGTCTCCCACCGAGGCAGGGTGACCCAAAAAGAAAGAAAATCTCCAAAAAGAAAACACTTTCATCATCATTCAACACTTTCACCTCACTCACACATAATCACTGCTTTTGCAGAGGTGCTCAGAACACAACTGTTTAGAAGCATATACATACATATAGAGATACACAACATATCCCTCCAAACTGCTAATATCCCGAACCCCTCCTTTAGAGTGCAGGCATTGTACTTACCATTTCCAGGACTCAAGTCCGGCTATATAAAAATAACCGGTTTCCCTGAATCCCTTCACTAAATATTACCCTGCTCACACTCCAACAGATTGTCAGGTCCCAAATACCATTTGTCTCCATTCACTCCTATTGAACACACTCATGCATGCCTGCTGGAAGTCCAAGCCCCTCGCCCACAAAACCTTCTTTACCCCTTCCTTCCAACCCTTTCGAGGACGACCCCTACCCCGCCTTCCTTCCCCTATAGATTTATATGCCCTCTGACTAATACTTTTATAAACTCCACACCTTCTAATTTCCACACTCCGAATTTTCTGCATAATATTTACACCACACATTGCCCTTAGACAGGACATCTCCACTGCCTCCAACCACCTTCTTGCTGCTGCATTCACAATCCAAGCTTCACACCCATATAAGAGTATTGGTACTGCTATACTTTCATATATTCCCTTCTTTGCCTCCATAGATAATGTTTTTGGACTCCACATATACCCCAATGCACCACTCACCTTTTTTCCCTCATCAATTCTATGATTAACCTCATCCTTCATAAATCCCTCCGCCAACACGTCAACTCCCAAGTATCTGAAAACATTCACTTCTTCCATACTCCTCCTCCCCAATTTGATACCCAAATTTTTCTTTATCTAAATAAATTTGATACCCTCATCACCTTACTCTTTTCTATGTTCACTTTCAACTTTCTTACCTTTACACACATTCCCAAACTTATCCACTAACCTTTGCAATTTTTCTTTAGAAACTCCCATAAGCACAGTATCATCACAAAAAGTAACTGTGTCCAATTCCCATTTTTGAATCTGATTCCCCCCTAATTAAATCCCACCCCTCTCCCAACACCCTAGCATTTACTTTTTTTACAACCCCATCTAAAAAATATATTAAACAACCATGGTGACATTACACATCCCTGTCTAAGACCACTTTTACCGGGAAGTAGTCTCCCTCTCTTCACAGACCCTAACCTGAGCCTCACTATCCTCATAAAAACTCTTTACAGGGATTTAGTAACTTACCATCTATTCCATATACTTGCAACATCTGCCACATTGCTCCCCTATCCACTCTATCATATGCCTTTTCTAAATCCATAAATGCAATAAAAACTTCCCACCTTATCTAAATACTGTTCACATATATGTTTCAATGTAAACACTTGATCTACACATCCCCTACCCACTCTGAAACCTCCTTGCTCATCCTCAATCCTATATTCTGCCCTTAAACCTCTAATTCTTTCAATTATAACCCTACCGTACACTTTTCCTGGTATACCAATAAACTTATTCCTCTATAATTTTTACAATCTCTTTTGTCCCCTTTCCCTTTATATAAAGGGACTAACTTTCTCTCCGCCAATCCTAGGTACCTTCCCCTCTTTTCATACTTTTATTAAACAAAAGTACCAACCACTCCAACACTATATCCCCCTCTTTAACTTTTCTGTCATGACCCCATCATTCCAGCTGCTTTAAACCCCCTTTCATTCTACGTAATGCCTCGTGTACCTCCCCCACACTTACATTCTGCTCTTCTTCACTCCTAAAAGATGGTATAAACCCTTTCCCTGACCAGTGCATGAAATTACCGCCTCCCTTTCTTCCTCAACATTTAAAAGTTCCTCAAAATATTCTCGCCATCTACCCAATACCTCCCTCTCCCCATCTACTAACTCCCCTACTCTGTTTTTAACTGACAAATCCATACTTTCCCTACGCTTTCTTAACTTGTTTAACTCACTCCAAAATTTTTTCTTATTTTCATTAAAATTTCTTGACAGTGCCTCTCCCACTCTATCATCTGCTCTCCTTTTGCACTCTCTCACCACTCTCTTCACCTTTCTTTTACTCTCCATATACTCTGCTTTTCTTATAACACTTCTGCTTTGTAAAAACCTCTCATAAGCTAACTTTTTATCTTTTATCACACCCTTTACTTCATCATCCGACTTATGACCACTCGACTTACGACCGTTTTTTTTGGCCAAATTTATGGGAAATAAACAACTATTTGTGTTGTACACAGTGTTTATCCTAAACCTTAAAGTATAAAATACAGTACTAACAGAATAAAAAGTAAAGTAAATGGGGAGATGGAGGTATTGGGTAGATGGCGAGAATATTTTGAGGAACTTTCAAATGTTAAGGAAGAAACAGAGGCAGTAATTTCATGCACTGGTCAGGGAGGTATACCATCTTTTAGGAGTGAAGAAGAGCAGAATGTAAGTGTGGGGGAGGTACGTGAGGCATTACGTAAAATGAAAGGGGGTAAAGCAGCTGGAACTGATGGGATCATGACAGAAATGTTAAAAGCAGGGGGGGATATAGTGTTGGAGTGGTTGGTACTTTTGTTTAATAAATGTATGAAAGAGGGGAAGGTACCTAGGGATTGGCGGAGAGCATGTATAGTCCCTTTATATAAAGGGAAAGGGGACAAAAGAGACTGTAAAAATTATAGAGGAATAAGCTTACTGAGTATACCAGGAAAAGTGTATGGTAGGGTTATAATTGAAAGAATTAGAGGTAAGACAGAATGTAGGATTGCGGATGAGCAAGGAGGTTTCAGAGTGGGTAGGGGATGTGTAGATCAGGTGTTTACATTGAAGCATATATGTGAACAGTATTTAGATAAAGATAGGGAAGTTTTTATTGCATTTATGGATTTAGAAAAGGCATATGATAGAGTGGATAGAGGAGCAATGTGGCAGATGTTGCAAGTATATGGAATAGGTGGTAAGTTATTAAATGCTGTAAAGAGTTTTTATGAGGATAGTGAGGCTCAGGTTAGGGTGTGTAGAAGAGAGGGAGACTACTTCCCGGTAAAAGTAGGTCTTAGACAGGGATGTGTAATGTCACCATGGTTGTTTAATATATTTATAGATGGGGTTGTAAAGGAAGTAAATGCTAGGGTGTTTGGGAGAGGGGTGGGATTAAATTATGGGGAATCAAATTCAAAATGGGAATTGACACAGTTACTTTTGCTGATGATACTGTGCTTATGGGAGATTCTAAAGAAAAATTGCAAAGGTTAGTGGATGAGTTTGGGAATGTGTGTAAAGGTAGAAAGTTGAAAGTGAACATAGAAAAGAGTAAGGTGATGAGGGTGTCAAATGATTTAGATAAAGAAAAATTGGATATCAAATTGGGGAGGAGGAGTATGGAAGAAGTGAGTGTTTTCAGATACTTGGGAGTTGACGTGTCGGCGGATGGATTTATGAAGGATGAGGTTAATCATAGAATTGATGAGGGAAAAAAGGTGAGTGGTGCATTGAGGTATATGTGGAGTCAAAAAACGTTATATATGGAGGCAAAGAAGGGATTATGAAAAGTATAGTAGTACCAACACTCTTATATGGGTGTGAAGCTTGGGTGGTAAATGCAGCAGCGAGGAACGGTTGGAGGCAGTGGAGATGTCCTGTTTAAAGGCAATGTGTGGTGTAAAATATTATGCAGAAAATTCGGAGTGTGGAAATTAGGAGAAGGTGTGGAGTTAATAAAAGTATTAGTCAGAGGGCAGAAGAGGGGTTGTTGAGGTGGTTTGGTCATTTAGAGAGAATGGATCAAAGTAGAATGACATGGAAAGCATATAAATCTATAGGGAAGGAAGGCGGGGTAGGGGTCATCCTCGAAAGGGTTGGAGAGAGGGGGTAAAGGAGGTTTTGTGGGCAAGGGGCTTGGACTTCCAGCAAGCGTGCGTGAGCGTGTTAGATAGGAGTGAATGGAGACGAATGGTACTTGGGACCTGACGATCTGTTGGAGTGTGAGCAGGGTAATATTTAGTGAAGGGATTCAGGGAAACCGGTTATTTTCATATAGTCGGACTTGAGTCCTGGAAATGGGAAGTACAATGCCTGCACTTTAAAGGAGGGGTTTGGGATATTGGCAGTTTGGAGGGATATGTTGTGTATCTTTATATGTGTATGCTTCTAGACTGTTGTATTCTGAGCACTCTGCAAAAACAGTGATAATGTGCAAGTGTGGTGAAAGTGTTGAATGATGATGAAAGTATTTTCTTTTTGGGGATTTTCTTTCTTTTTTGGGTCACCCTGCCTCGGTGGGAGACGGCCGACTTGTTGAAAAAAAAAAAAAAAAATATATATATATATATATATATATATATATATATATATATATATATATATATATATATATATATATATATATATAATATATATATATATATATATATAAGGCAGTAGCTTGGTAGACAGCAACCGCCCAGGGAGGTACTACCGTCCTGCCAAGTGAGTGTAAAACGGAAACCTATAATTGTTTTACATGATGGTAGGATTGCTGGTGTCTTTTTTTTCTGTCTCATACACATGCAAGATTTCAGGTACATCTTGCTACTTCTACTTACACTTAGGTCACACTACAAATACATGTACAAGCATATATATACACACTCCTCTGGGTTTTCTTCTATTTTCTTTCTAGTTCTTGTTTATTTCCTCTTGTCTCCATGGGGAAGTGGAACAGAATTCTTCCTCCGTAAGCTATGCGTGTTGTAAGAGGCGACTAAAATGCCAGGAGCAAGGGGTTAGTAGCCCCTTCTCCTGTATATATTACTAAATTTAAAACGAGAAACTTCTGTTTTTCTTTTTGGGCCACCCCGCCTCAGTGGGATACGGCTGGTGCGTTGAAAGAAAGAAAGATGCACATTCTTTTTCTCGAGAAATTGCAAGAGTGGCCAGATAAATGGTTGCTTGAATTCAATCCCAATCAATGCAAAATCATAAATATTGGGAAGAAGCAAGAAGACAAGAAATGGGTTTAGACTAGGGGGAGAAAGGATGCAGACTTCACTCAAAAAGAAAGAACTAGGGGTTAATATAGTGCCTTGTACAACACCAGAGGCTCACATCAGCCGAAAAACTTTGCAGCCTTCCGGAATCTCAACAGAGACATTCTTGGCACATTATGCAATATACATTAAGCCCATCTTGGAGTATGCAGCACTAGTATGGAACCTGCACCTAAAAAAGCATGTTAAGAAACTGGAAGTAATGCAGAAGTATGTAGTAAGGGTTGTTCAGAGCTAAGGGGTATGAGCTATGAGAAGAGACTAACTTAACTGAATCTAATGATATTGCAGGACATGAGAACCAAGGAAGATATAATACACAAAACATTCAGAACATTTGTAAGGGTGGGTAGGGACAGGTTGGCTGAGAGGAAAGAAACAGGGTACTTGAGGCCACAGCTAAAAGTTAAAGAAAGACACAGATGACCAACAGGGACATCAGGAAATATTTCTTCAGTTTCAGGGTGGTTGGGAAGTGGAATGGCCTTTATGAAGAAATGGTAGAGGCAGGCTCCAAACACAGCTTTAAGAGCAGCCACAATTAGAGCCCATACTAAGAGGGAGTGAATCTGCAAAGTAGCAAGTTGATGGGTAGGACCAAGAGCTAGGACTTAACCCCTGAAACAACATATGAGTGAGTACATTTACACATCACATGCTGTATATACAGAATTTTTTAATTATTCACTAGTACATGATCTAGGAATCAACCCCTGTAACCACAAAGAGGTGAGAACATAAACATACATGCTGTAGTATATAGAGCATTTTTTAAATTATTCACTAGTATTTTTCTCTGTTTAAAGTAAAGTATACTTCTATTTAATTTTTCAATGGCAGATATTCAGCATCATCAGAAGCATCTGATACTCAATATTGGTAAACCTTGATAACTGATACCGACAAATTGGTTTAAAAAGACACTTGAGGAAACACTATTTATTAGAAAATGTTTCAGTCCCAGGACCAAAACACTTTCTTATAAATATGTCCTAGTGTTTGCTCCTGTGTCTTTTTAAAACATACTCAATGATTATATCTTACCAAAAGATAGATAACTCTATTTGTGTGTTCAATGATAGCAGAAGCATCTGAAGCAAAGAAGTACTCCACTTCCTTGTCATCTCCAAGAGGGAGGAACTCTGCGGTGGATTCAGTGCGTGCAAGACCATGGGGAAGCTCATACACGTGAGTACGGTGATCTGAAAATTTTTTTCTTATAGTGTCAATGCTCATATAAACTTAAGTTTCCTGCCCACAGCCAGAAGCAATTTATGGAGAATGTTGAATCTATTGTGACATTTACAACCAAGTCATAAACTGCAGATTAACCCTTTGACTGTCGCAACCCCCAATCCTGAGGTGTCTCCTGGTGTCGCAAAATTTAAAAAAAAAATTATTTTTTCCTATGAAATGATAGAGAATCTTTTCCCGATTGTAATGACACCAAAAAAACGAAATTTGATGGAAAACTGATGGAATTATGCTCTCGCGAAGTTAGCGACCTCGGCGTTGTTTACAAATCGGCGATTTCGCCCACTTTGAGCCCTATTTTTGGCTAATTCCATTGTTCCAGTCGCCCAAACTCATAGCTATTTCTTTAGAACTCCATTTTTTCTATTGACTGAGTACAAGAAACTGCCCATTTACCGATTTCAACTACCTAATAATGTGGTCAGAAATTTGCAATTTGGCCAATTTCACGAAAACTAAAAAATATGACAATTTCAAAATAAAGTCCAGAATGAACAATGCAGACATTCCTGGCTCTAAAATAACATTTTCTTTGTTCATCAGTCATGTCTCCAGGCCCCTCTGATATTACTCTTGCTTTCTATTTTGAATTTTTATTCAAACAAAAAATAGAAGACTTACTATTATGCAGACTACTGCAATACTGTAATAATTGTATAAATAACATCAACCCATTCATGACTGCATATTAGAATGGCTAGTTGGACATTTATTGGACAGTGGCATCATTTGTTTACTTTTGAACATTGGCAAAAATCAAACATTTCCCCTACTTTGAGCTCCATTTCTAGGTTCTTTTTATAGTAAAATCAATCAAAATCACCTCTATTTCTATAATATGTTTTCCATTCTATCAAATGAGACCAAGAAAACGAGAATACAATCATAAATACTATACAAAAATAGATCACAAAGTCGGCATTTTAATTAAAAAAAATCGGTCGAAGTTTTTTTTTTCTCATTATGCACTGCATGCTCCAGGATTTTTTTTATATGGTGCACACTGATCACACAGACCCATTCTCTCACATGTGGGCCTACCAGCTTTCTCCTGCTTGATTTGAAGCCGCTAGAATTTATGAGTATATATATGTCAAACACGGTACCTCGTAAGACGTATATATACGGCCGCGACAGTCAAAGGGTTAATATTCAGGCAGTGTTGTGGTTCATACCAGACCATTATGAAGTCACAACTTGATGATGGTCCAGGATGGACTGAAACAGCATCTTCAGAATCATCTCCAATTTGTGAGTTAGTTGTGAACTGTTGCAACCATATTCATGTTTACATATTACAATGGGTCTATCACTTATTTTTTAATTACTGCACTTTGCAAGATGCTGTACCGAAAACTTCCAAAATGCAATGTCATATAATACAGTAGATCCCTGACTTACAATGTTTCACTTTTACAACACTAGCTCGATCGCTAGTGCACTCACCTCGCACACTGAGGTCTGGGGGTTGATCCCCGGTACAGCTGGAAACATTAGGACATGTTTCCTTATGGCACCTGCTGTCCATGTTCACCTGTCAGTAAAATACATACCTAGGTGTTAGTTGACTGGTGTGGATCGCATCCTGGGACAAAATTGACCTAACTTGCCCGAAATGCTCTGCATAACAAGGGGCTCTTTCTATATACGTACTAGTACATATGTCATTGATGTCAGCTAGGCCTGTATACCTTGTACATGTACTTGTAGAAATAAAGATATTATTATTATTATAATATTCAATTACTTGCTTTGCAATCAATGACTCACAAACACTATCTTACTTTTCTGATACACAAGAATGCTTATGGCTGTGGAGGGTGGAGGATGCAGCAGTAGAAACTGGTGATACGGTTGTTAGTAAACACTGTAGCAACACATGGTCCACTCTCACCCTCTCATGTTTACTGTGTTTTTAAACTACAATTTTTTTTTATTTTTTTTTATTATCACACTGGCCGATTCCCACCAAGGCAGGGTGGCCTGAAAAAGAAAAACTTTCACCATCATTCACTCCATCACTGTCTTGCCAGAAGGGTGCTTTACACTACAGTTTTTAAACTGCAACATTAACACCCCTCCTTCAGAGTGCAGGCACTGTACTTCCCATCTCCAGGACTCAAGTCCGGCCTGCCGGTTTCCCTGAATCCCTTCATAAATGTTACTTTGCTCACACTCCAACAGCACGTCAAGTATTAAAAATCATTTGTCTCCACTCACTCCTATCAAACACGCTCACGCATGCCCGCTGGAAGTCCAAGCCCCTCGCACACGAAACCTCCTTTACCCCCTCCCTCCAACCTTTCCTAGGCCGACCCCTACCCCGCCTTCCTTCCACTACAGACTGATACACTCTTGAAGTCATTCTGTTTCGCTCCATTCTCTCTACATGTCCGAACCACCTCAACAACCCTTCCTCAGCCCTCTGGACAACAGTTTTGGCAATCCCGCACCTCCTCCTAACTTCTAAACTACAAATTCTCTGCATTATATTCACACCACACATTGCCCTCATACATGACATCTCCACTGCCTCCAGCCTTCTCCTCGCTGCAACATTCATCACCCATGCTTCACACCCATATAAGAGCGTTGATAAAACTATACTTTCATACATTCCCCTCCTTGCTTCTAAGGACAAAGTTCTTTGTCTTCACAGACTCCTAAGTGCACCGTTCACCCTTTTCCCCTCATCAATTATATGATTCACCTCATCTTTCATAAACCCATCCGCTGACATGTCCACTCCCAAATATCTGAATACGTTCACCTCCTCCATACTCTCTCCCTCCAATCTGATATCCAATCTTTCATCACCTAATCTTTTTGTTATCCTCATAACCTTACTCTTTCGTGTATTCACTTTCAATTTTCTTCTTTTACATACCCTACCAAATTCATCCACCAACCTTTATATTTGTTTAAATTTTGAACTAAACTGGTTTATATTGACATTCCTAAGAAAATGGCCAGAAAGAAAACATATTTAAGCATGAGAAATCCAATGAGTATATTCTGAATGAAATCCTATGGCTGATTTTTTTTTTTCAATTTAATTATTTTAAGTCAAGTTAAAAGAAAGTGGATGCCCAGTCACAAAAAGTATGACTGAATTTTGGATTTTAGTATTTTTCTCAGTTGCTTTGTGTTATACTATTGTATGCATTACTTAAACAATGCTTACTAATGTTTTTAAGTGAAAGAGAATACTGAATGTTAAATATACTGGATAAATATTCTTAGTAAAACAATTTAATGAAATTTGTTACAGAATATTATATGCCAGGAACCCAATTCCAATTATAACATGGGTATCTATGAGAAAATAGGCTCTGAGTTCTGAACAAGTGACTTATGAATGATTTTCAGGAACACAAACATTGTAAGTGTGGGACCTACGGTACATTATTCAGACAAGATAAGAATAGGTGGGACAACATTCAGCATATATTGCATATTAATACATATAATGGTTTGATGTACATTATAGCATGAAAAACATTCTATGGAGGGTCCTGTGAACTACATTAGGAATACAGTATGTAGTAGAAACTACTCTATAACACCAATAAAAAGAATCTTATACTACTTTTTTAATGAGAAAAAATTGGGCAGAAGGAATACCGAGTTGAAAAGTTCAAGACAGTCCTATATGGTGATGTTTAGAGATGGGAAGTGTTATTTGGGGACTGGTTGAATTCCCAGTGGACCAACAAAGCCCAAACACGAAAGTATATATGAAATCACACATTGTAACATAAGTGAGCAGTACATGGACAAAGGAAGCGAGCCATTTGTTAGATTTATGTATTCAGAAGACATACAGTAGGGGAGAATAAGAAAGCAATATAACTGGTGTTGCAAAGGTATGAAACAGGTAGCAAGTTGTTAAAAGCTGTAAAGCAATTTGATGAGAAGAGTGAAACCTAGGTTAGGGTATGTAAAGAGAAAAAAATATTCTCCAGTTAGAGTACCAGTAGGCCTTGGACATAGATGTGTGATATCATCCTACAGTAGATGTTTATGTCTTAATTGAATGCTAGTGTTAGGAACAGGTGTGGGCTTAAAAGATAATGAAAGTGATATAACATGAAGCTTTTCACAGTTCCTCTTTGCTGATGACACAATACTTCAGGAAGATTCTGAACAGGAAGTATAGAAGCAAAAGAAGTTTGGAACAATGTGTAAAAGAATGAATTCAAATGTGATCACAGAAAAAAGCAAGGTGATGAGAATATCAAGTCTAAGGAATGACAAAGCAGAATGAAGAAGCAGGAAGGAAAAGAATTTATTTAAATACTTGGGGGTTGATACATTAACATCTGAGTTTATGGAAGATTAGGTTAATCACAGAATAGACTAGGACAAAAAAGTGTTATGTTGAGGAGTCTGTAGAAAGTACCATGTTTAGGACTGAAAAAAAAAATGTGTCACAGCACAGTGTAGTGGCAGCAATAATTTATATGGAAAGGGGGATGAGGGCATGAAGTTGGAGATGCTATTTCTGAGATCAGTATATAAATATTAAACATGGAATAAGGCATTAAGAAATTAAAGTAAGTAAGCAAGTAACTAAGTAAGTTTATTCAGGTATATACAAATAGAGTTACATAGATTATCATACATAACAGCATATGTGTAGAGAACCTAGGATAACTAAAAAAAAGTCAGAATAATGAAATGATATGAAAGGTGTAATCCAAGCAAAAGAAGAGTAGCTGCTGAGATGATTTAGTAATTTAGAAAGGACATGTCATGATAGGCTGATTAAAAGGATATACTGCATAAATTTGGGGTGGTTGAAAGGAGGTGCATGGGATGTCTGAGGAAGGGACAGAAAGATAAAAGAAGTTGAAGAAGGCTTTGAAATAACAGGGCTTGAGCATCCAGCAGTAATGTGCGAGAATGTTAGGACAATGTGAGTGAAAGCAAGTGGTATGTATGTATG